TGCCTCGCGAAATCCATGCCATATAGCTTAAGAGAGACAGTTGGCCTGCACAGCTGGTTTGCACTCGACCACATCCCTCTTGCAAACCAATACCAGCTCTTGTTCTTACTTTGGTAAACAGAATTCACTCCCCTTCATTATCCGGTTGGATTTTTAAAAAAGGAACTTTCTAAGTTCGTGAGCACGTAATGCACTAAGACCCGCTTTGTACCTCATCTACATCGTTTCAGCCGACGTATTGCCATCGATCTTCACTCTTTATTTCAGCTCACGTTGATGACCAAAGCAGACTGAGGCGTTCCTTATACGATCTAAGTTAGGACTTTAAGGTCTTATTATTTCCCCGAACAAATATCCTTCAAACTTCACCAAAGTATCACATAATGCTACCACTCCTGTCCAACGGAGCGCCTCATATGCAAAACGCCCAGCTCTCAACGCTTTAACTTCTCGAGGCCGATCGTCAGTGTCCTGAGTAACCTCTCTTTAGCAGTACTGACATCTCTACCTGACCAACCCACCAACTCTCTTCCATCACGGCTACCTAGAAGGATCTCAGGTTCAGACAGGCCTGGAAATTCTCAAACTCCGTTTGCACAAGATGGAAAGTGAACTAGCATCCTTCCAAGGCATATAGCCCATTGCCACATGCGATGCATCAAATCTTGAAAGGGCGTCAGTTCTTATTGACACGCTTGATTGTGAATTTTGTCAGCGCATGCAATACCATCGCCAGGTCCGAATAAACGACGCGCTTGACCGAATATTGCTTGAACGAACAAAATCCACCATCATGACCCATGTCACATGCTTTACACCACCTACACAGCTCGACGGTTCCAAAAGTCAAAATTACCCTTGTGTTGCCCAATAATGCGATTCAGGGATGAAAACCATGCCTTTACGCTTCCAGCTACGCAGCGATCCGGAGGCTTGCGTGGTAGGGTGTGCAGGGGTTGATATAACTTTAAGCTGGCGGGCGGAATGATCTTTGCCTAACGGGATAATCTCGATAGTCTGTACTATGCGGTTCATCTGGTAACGTCCGTGAAGGAGTCTCACAAGCAGCAAGTTGGTCACTGTCTTTTCGCTTTGTCTGCTGGCGCCCTAGCCGATTCTAGCTCTGACACCATGGAAGACAAGTTTTATGACAATTTGAATGCAGTTTTGCGGCAGGCTGGAAGCTCAGATATCGCGGAGACCTGAGTGCGAAAGTGGGTTGGCTTGGCGCATCTGTGACTCAATTAGGTGTTCGTTCTGGATTGAACTTGGCACGTACGGACACTGGTGAACGATTACTTAAGCCATATTTTTGTCGCAGGCTGTTTTCATGCCATACCAGCTTCCGAAGTAGCTGGAGTCGTCTGGTCACATAGTGTTCTCCAACGGCAAGCTGACTACGAACTCAAACTGGCCACTTTGCCGTCAGTTATTGATAACGTGGATCAACAAGTGACTAACGTTTCTTTTGGAACACAGTTGTGGATTCCGACCACACTCGTCCGGAGTCACTTATACCTTCGATTCTAAGGGCCACGCACATGCGGAGGATTCGCTTAGCAACTGAGAGTCTCGCAGGTTCGGATGTTGGACGTATTCTTCAGAGTCGTCTTCTGAAGTTTTTTCGAACTGCTTTATCACCAGATGATAATTTATACTGGGAAGAGGTCGCCACCTGTTTGGACAGTGCTGGACTTCTGTCTGCGACACAGCGCTGTCAGGCTCACTCAGGCACTGGATATCGGACCAAACAGTGGCACTGCTTGAATCTCGGAGAAATGTTCCCCAGATCCCCAGTGTAATTCGGCCCGACGAATTATCAGACGTCAATTGAAGGTGAGCGTGCACATCAAGCATAAACCCTGGTGGACTCGGAAGGCTAGGGGATTGAAACAGGCCCAGAAACCCAGGAATGCTCGAAGATTATTTCACCTGATCCGTGTGACCGGTACCAGAAAACTATCTGTGAGCGAATGTATCAAGAACAGGAATGCGGCGACCGTCTTGCATGAAGAAGAACGCTCCGACAGTGGACCGAGTTCTTCGAACAACAGTTATCGTTGCCACCGGTTTTCACTCATCTGGAGCCTGGGCGGTGAAACTGGAAACCCTTACGTTCTCGGAGATTTGTGACTGCATATGTTCTCTCAAGCGCCACCAAGCTCCTGGTCCGGATAAACTACCACCCGCATTGTTAATAGTTAGGGGTAAAGTCCTCAGTCTGGGTTTGTCTGATCTGTTTACCTGCATTTGGGGTAAAGCGACTTTCCCAAACAACTGAGAAGAATCGTTGATAGTGCCCATTTTTAAAAAAAGGGGCTCGTAGTGAGTGTAATAACCACAGGGGGGTCAGCTTGATCCCGGTTGTAACGAAACTTGGTCTCTCTTGTGCTTCTTCGCCTTACGGTGGCTCGTGAAACACTGACTCGAGAGCAGCAAGTGGGATTCCGGCCAGGTAGTGGTTGGGCCGACCAAATCTCCACACTCCGTCAGGCGCTAGATCAATGCCAGACGTACGAACGACCCACAACTTTAATATCCACGGAATTTTCAAGGCGGACTCGAATTACTTCACTTGTCTGCTCTCTTTAACACACTCGTCCAGCAAGTACTGTCCCCTAAGTTTGTGAGCATAATAAGTTCTTTGTACTCCCAGACTCTTAGACATGTGGGAGTATATGGAGAGCTCTCCAAAAGCTTCCTTACACAAGGCGGTGTCCGTCAGGTGTGCCCACTCTCTCCATTTCTATTTACCTTCATGGTTGATGAGATAATAAAATGAATCCTGGAAGGTCTTCGAGACCGTGGTGTTCAAATGGCTGCCCACGAAAACTTTGTGAATCTGGAATGTGCAGATATCATCGTTCTCATCTTTAATGAGGAGAGGAGGGCAATGGTGTTTTTAGATGTTCTGACCAAAGTCATCTCGCCCTTTAGCATGCGCTTTAGACCCACAAAGTCTAAGTTCTTGTTCTTGGACATGCAGTCACTGAACACACCATTTGCAATCCAGGGAGAGGCACCTGAAGCTGTTAGTATTCAACATATCTTGGAAGTTGTATTGGTTTCAATTGTAGTGTGATGGATGAGGTCAATAAACGAATCTGCAAGGTTTGGTCCGTGCTTTTTAATTTGGGATACCTATGCTGTCGCACCCATATATCCCTGAATCTAAATGGACAAGTGTATCAGACTACAGTGCGGACTGTTTTGTGGTGCTGCTGAGTCTTGTCCTGTCCGAGCAGCGGAGTTGAGACGTCTTCAGGTGTTCGACAATCGTTGTCTCAGGACCAGTATATAGGTTGGTGTCGGAGAGTCAGTAGCAGGGTGATTGGAAATTGAGTTTTCTGTTTTGCAACGGGGACTCCCATTGAAGAATGTTTCCATCGCCAGAGGATGCGTTTGTTAGACCATGTGTCGCGTGTGCCGAAGAGAATGCTGTTTTCTGTGCCCAGTTCAGAGTGACAGAAGCAGAAAAGTGGCCAACCCTTGACCTCGCAGGTATGCAACAGACCGCGAAACGGTTGGGTGCTGTCGGTGCTACCCTCCTTCCGGGATGGGAACTACGTGATTCCCACTGCTCCTGGTTGAAGAGGTTGCAAGATATGGCTGCCAATCGATGTCAATAGCGTTTTTGTCAGTTTCTATCCGGATTCTCTGAATTAGTGTCGGGATGTGTAGGCACCTCGGAAGGACTGTGGTAGGCTAGCAGTAAGTTCATTCCCCATCCACTTTTATTCTTTTATTCACAATAAGCCTTTCAAATAAATCACGTTTGTGTGGTAGCGAAGCATTAGGTTTAGACACTGATATTATACTGTCGATGATAATGCGGTGTCTACCGTCTATTTTGGTCCAGGTCAGCTTGACTGTTCATAATGAACTTTCCATCAAAGCAACCGAGATGACTTCGCGTAGACTGTTGGCCCATATTTTTCCTTGGTCTCACGAATCGGCAGAACACTTTCTCCACATGTATATTCCGAAAATCTTAATCCCTATAATAATAATAATAATAATAATAAATAATCATTCAGCCGTAGCGTCATTTCGGTGTTTAGCTGCCATGCCAACGGAAGAAGGCACGCTGGAATGAATACCGCCAGGTTGCCCAAATCCAGACAGGAGCAGTCAAGGTGGTGATGTCGGTCTCTAACCACGGACCTTTTGGTACGTAAGCGCGCGCCTTAGCCACTGAGCTGTCTGGAGGCCCATTTTGTTGTGGATACGTTGGAGTAAATCTCGGCTGCATGCGATCACTATTTCGGGTTTGCTACTTCCTGTTGCGTCTCCGAAGTTAGGGGTTTCCTCCTCATGCAGGAGAATGGAACGTTTTGTTATCAACTGCCAGTTTCAGTAAGCACCTGCTAGCTTTACTCATTTTCTCTACCTTGGGCTAAATGGTCCAAGTGGTTAGAGCGCATACTTACTGACCGGAAGATCAGTGGTTCGAACCCAACCTCTGCCTCTCGACTTCCCCTGTCTAGGCTTGGGCAGCATGGCAGTATCCCAGCCCTCGTGCTTCCTTTGGATGGCATGGCAATTAGGCACCAAAAGGGTGCTACAGCTGAACGACAATTTCTCTACCTGGGGGATTCTTAAGATGAATTCTCATGTATGCACGCCTTGATGGATCAGTGTTCACCGTGAAGGTTGACTGGTCCCACTTGGCCCGCTAGTAAACATACCGCTGATGCGAGGTCAGACTGATCAACAATCGTCTTTCAGGCGAACCGAATTCTGTTTGGGGACAGAAAGATCAGAATACAACACAGAAAGCTCAGCAAATCAGACGGACCGTGCGTGAACAGTGACACGAGTGACGAACGTTGACTCCGATGCGCTTCATCCCCTTTCGGTATTTTGGTGTATTCGCGCGTCCAGCAGGTACCAACCGAGGGCTATCCTCTCACGTTTCTCGGAGCAATGAAGACGGTTTTACTCGCTCAATTTTTTGCAAGGCTGAGGTAAATTGTATTTTGTCCTTACTATTTGTATAGATGAGAGAAGTGATGCGCGATGGTAAACCGGTGAAGATTTTCACTGGTCTAGTGGACCAGTCTGCCGAACATGTGGGAGACCAGTTCGTTACGTTCCATATGAAACTGACCTACAAACATGACCTGGATTATCGGGCCTTAATTAAATGGGCGCTGGATAGGATGAAGCGGCAAAACCGGCTGCGGCAAATGTAAGCTCACTTTTACTTTGTTCTATTTATAGTGTCTCAAACGATGCAATTCAACATCTTGGTCTGGATCTGGCGGTAGCTCATATGATATGTAACATCGGTGGTCGGGTGAAATTTGTCGGGAGCGACAAATGGTTTTTCCGGTACGCTAATTTGAGACCGGAATTGCCGACCCAGTACGCTGGAGACTTGCGATTGAGTGCCATTGATTTATCTGGATCGAACGTTGTCTTTGAAGGCTTTGAACTCTTCCGTAAGTCTCCAATCTCTTCGTCAGTGTGGCTCCAACCCTGTTTTCGACCTTCACTTTAACAGTCGTCAACTGCGGAGATATTGTGAGCTACAAAACGCACGCCTTAGCAGGTTGACATGATAGTTTCAAGAGTTATGATGACCAAAATATCAGCGATAGAGCGAGTTGTACCTACTCTGTTTGCTGAATTGGTGATCGAAATAGAACACGAGTGTCCAGCAATACTCCTTCAATGGTATTAATGGGAACAAGCAAAATGTTTCATTGGCGTTCTGTTACAAATCAGGAGCGGCGTGTTTCAAAAGGATAGGGATTCTGCACATCCGCATGGAACAGAGATCGGGGCGAGTCCATCAAAGGAATTCGGACACAATAAAACATCTCCTCAAGGGATACCGATCAGGAGAACCAAACTGTCACTAAGTCCTGGGCATCACCTTGGATGTTCGGTAGATGTTCGTCCAGATGACTAACATTCCCGTGTGGGCGTTGTGGCAGTATCCCAGCCCATGTACAACCATGATATTTACAAGTAGCAGTACGCTCGTGGAACATCTTCGGGTCGCCTTACTTACTACATACAGCAGGGCAGGTAGGTGAAAACATGCTAATGCTGACGCCTCCCTTCTTACAATCTCACGTCTTCCCTCTTTTACCCTACCCCACCCAAATTCGAATGCTCTCTTCTCAGGTCCCAACACTAGGAGTGATCGTTTTGCTCGACGTGCATCACACTGAGCTGCAGCTCCTGTACGTTTGACTTTAGTAACAACCCTGGACACTTCGAAGTCCTTTGTGAAACCCTGAAAGCGTGTCTGCTTAGCTGGCTCTAATGTTCACACACTGAAGCAATCAGCACAAGAGGTAGCTCTTGCTCGCACGTTGGATCCCCCTGGATTGATGTATGTTGTCTGTCAGGAACGAGGATGCAGGACGCAAGTACTGTGATCGAACTAACTGTCCCCTTGCTCTATTCCAGGCTCCGGCTTGCGTCACCTCGTGATGCATAGGCCGGCTGGGATGGGTATTATATTGAGCGGTTGAACGGAAGTGTCTGCTTGATTGAATACCTGTTGATAGTCGCCTCTGTGCGGTTCGTTTGGCAACATCTGTGAGAGACTAGATGAATTGATCGCCCCTTGTTTATTGTTTGCTTACGCCCTAACTGACTGTAGCCCTGTATCTGCGAATGACAGTTTCTATGACGCTCTAGGTGCCCTTGTAAAGTGGGATGAAAGCTCAGATGTCGTTGTGGTTGCTGGTGACATGAACACCCAGGTAGGTAGACCAAGCGCACCCGACTGGGTGGTCCTCTTCGTTTGGACACGAGAAGCACGGACATCGGCGACCGCTTACTTCAGATGTGTGCCCATCACCTACTCTTCCTTTGCAGTACCAATTTCAGGAACCGCGGAAATTGTTTGATAACGTGGTGCCCACCAACAAACCAGCCCCGAATCCAAATAGACCACGTCGCCGTCACTTGTTGATAGCGAGGGTCGATCACCGCCTGCCGCTCCTTCTGGAACACCAGTGTGGAATCCGAAGATGCACTCGTTCGATGCTTCTTTTCATTGTGCTTTTCAAGTTTACACAAAACGCACACAACGCTTAGCCATTTAGAAACTAATGCACCCAGGAATCAAAATTAAATATCAGAACCGTTTCCCCCGAACGCCTGCCGGACGGTATGATGTCAGGTGTAAACGACCAGTGGGAATAGATATCCAAAGCACTAATCAAAGACCGATTTGTGTTTGCCGTACAACCCAACCAACCTCATCCAAATAGTGGATCTCTGATGGGACCATATGTTTGCTGGAGGCGGGGTGACAAATTCCTCCTGGCCGTAGTCACAACTGTACCCGACGGCAAGTGAAACCGAGTGTCCGTGCAAACCGATAAGCTTGGTGGACCCAAAAGGCCGAAGAAATGGAAGATTCAAAAAATGCTGAAAACGTCCATAAGCTGTTCCACTTGATTCGGTCGACTGGTCCTCGGAGGCCTCTTATCAGCGAAATTATCGGGCACCAAAATGGCCCCCTGATATGCAGCAAAGCAGAACGTTTGGATCGGTGGGCACAGCGATTCAGTTGGCCACCTGCTACCTCTATTGCGGAATCCTGGCCTTCAACAGGAAAGTTGACTGTGAATATGGAGTCGTCTTCGCTTCAGAAGTGTTCGAATGTATCATATTCAAGTGTCATCATGCTGCTGGTGTTTACGACCTTTCACCTGCTCTGTCCAAGGATGGCGTGAGTTTCTTAGCCAGTGTCTGTCTAGCCTATTTGGGTCTGTCTGGGAGAAAACCACCGTCCCAGACAACTGAGGTGAGTCGTTAATAGTGTGCAATTTCAAAAACGGTACTCGCATTAAATGCAGTGATCACAGATATGTTGATTTGACTCCTGTTGCGACAAGGTTTCTGACGTCACCGATTCTTCGTCGTCTTACTGTGACACGCGAAGTATTGACTCTTGAGAATCAAGCGGGATTTTGACCGGTTGACCACATCTTCACGCAAATTTTCACACAGCAATGCCACATGCACAGACGACTCACATTCTTGATATTCCTTGATTTCAAGGATGCGTTCGATTTTGTCGATCGGTCAGTGCTGTTGACTTCACTTGCCCCAGAAGTTTGTGAGCATAATCCGGTCCCTATATTCACGTACTTGGCGTTTGAGTGTATGGCGAGCTCCCCAAAAACGCCCCCTACAAAAAATGATGTCCAACAAGGGTTTCGCTCTCCGTTTTTTGTTCAACTTCGTCATTGATGAGGTAGTGAGATGAACGCTAGAACGTCTTCGAAACCCCGGTTTTCAAAATGTTGCTGGTGAGTGCCTGGTCAACCTTGAGCACGCAGGCGACATCGCCCTCATCTTTGGAGACCAAGGTGAAACACGAGCCTTGTTGAATAAACTGACCACCGTCATATCATCTTTCGGCATGTGGCTTGTATCTCCAAAGTGCAAGGTCATACTTCAGAACGTACAGTATCCGAACATACCCCTTACAATTCAAGGAGAATCACTGGAGATTGTGGAGAATTTTGAATACCTCGGCAGTTATGTTTGCTCTGGCGGAAATATATGTGATGAAGTCGGTCTAAGAACCTCTCGACCGAAAGCTGCCACCTTGACGTGGTGGTCGTGCTTGAGTGTTGCAATGATCCCGCGGCCTACACTGGCTGGAACTTCGTTCCACAAGGTGCAACCATGCCAGGAAGGCCAAAGGGGAGCAGTCAGACCAAGAGCAGTGAGACCCTGTACTACCAGTAATCGTGTTACGGGACCATCTGGGGGTAATGTGGTACTGTCCTATGTGACAGGAGTGTGAATGCAGTAAGGTGATTTCCCCAGGCAGCCAGCATTCTCTTATTTATGGAAACAGCGGTGCTGATTTCCCCCGAAGGTCGGGTGAGAAAAGGTCGGCTCCAAAAACTGCACACTCCGATCGCCCAGCGGTTGACCGGCGGCGATACGGTTGAAATAATTTTAAAACCAAAGAGTCTGGTGCTGCTCAAAGGGCACCTGCTGTGCGCATCCGCAGGTGCGTACGTCATAGAGAATCACTGGAGGTTGTGGAGAATTCTACATACTTAGGTAGTCATGTTTGCTCTGACGGAAACGTGTGTGATGAAGTCACTCCAAGAATTTCAAAGGACATAATCATGTTTGCTACTTTGCGTCACTTGTGGCGTCAAAATGCATATCGGGCTAAAGCAAGGGCTGTAGTGTTTGATGACCTCTGCGGACCGATGATGTGAGGCGTTTTCAGGTTTTTGGCCACCGATGCTTATTAGGCGTTGCTGGTTCTGGATGGAGTCAACGGATTAGTAACGAAAGGATTAGAAAACGGGTATTTGGTTTTACGAGTACTTCAATCGCAGAAAGCACACAATACCATAGATTACGATAACTCGGCCATGTGCTACGCATTCATAAACACCGTCTACAGGGACGGGTGTTGTTTTCCGTGCCTTCCTTCAAATTGCGGAAACCACGAGGTGGATAACATATGACTTGGAAAAAGGATTTGAAAGAGATTACGAAGAGTTGGGGTGTTGTCGGTGCAGTGCTGCTCCCATGATTGGGTCCCGTGACGTCCCCTACACCTAGCTGGAGACATACGAAGAATTGGCGGCTGATCGATGTCAATGACGTTCGTGCGGTCAGTTTCTCCCCATATTGTCTGAGTGAGTGGTTGGAGGTGTAGGCACCTCAGAACGCTTGCGATAGGTCAGCCACTAGGTCCACTCCCTCATCCATTCTATTTATCCTCTGTTCACTCTTACTCCTTAAATATAATTAGATGGACCTCATGGTTAGACGACATGAAGAATCAGTGTCAACACTGATCTGATGATGACAAACAGCAGACTTGTCCTAAGTCAACTTGACGTGTTAAAGTAATCAAACAGAGGCCATCATTGCCACACAGTCACATCCTTATTGAAAATGGCTTCAATATGGCTAGAAACGTCCCTTCAAGAGCATATCACTCCCATTTACAGAAGTCACGTCCTTAATATAGTTCAGAAAATTAGCATCGTTTCGGTCGTATTGCACACATCACTGTATGAGAGATCTAACTGCGTGAACCCCTCGTCCGTGGAGCCGTCGGCGGATGCCTCATCCGCCTCGCCGCGCACTACTTAACCGCAGATGTTAATGCGAACGTCGAATCTTATTGGGCGGCCATCAACGACTGGAAATTTTGTGTTACATTTAACGTTTTGATCCCGACACCATAAGTAATGGTCTTTCTAGTGAGGGAACGGAGGAACCATTTATATGCACACGTCCTCGAGTTTTTATTATCGTCTGCAGCAGCCGTCTTCGAATCCTACCGGGCTCCGCGCTTCCAGAAGTGGATGACATCGCTGTATCTATTGAGATGCTACGGACTCAATAACCTAACGACTAACTGAACCTTTACTACAATTATCTGTGTCGAGCCATTTGTTTTCATTTTACCATCCGATGGAGGGACAGACGTCCCTGGGGTTCCGCGCACGCGGTGAATGGCCGAAATCGTTCAGCCGCAGCACCCTTTCGGTGCCTAGCTACTATGCCACCCGAAGGAAGCACGAAGGCTGGGATACTGCAGCCTTGCCCGAACCTAGACGGGAGAATTCGAGAGGTAGAGGTCGGGTTCGAACGACGGACCTTCCGGCTAGTAAATTCGCGCCCCTAACACTGGTCCATCTTGCCAAGATGCGATTTGTGATACGTCTTGCTGTGAAAACTTCAGGGAATGATTGCGTGTCTATAGGCTTTATGCGTTGCGGATACAATGAGAGACAAGTCTGCAAAACTAAGGATGGCAGGTGTAGTTCATGAGTCAACGGAAAAGCACAAACGTCAAGTAAAAATAACCGCAGAAACAACATCACACTCTCGTCTTGTCTTGTATACACAGACAAGCGCGTCACATAAAAGGTTCGCACAGACAGTCGGCCCCGAGTTCAGGAAGAGTGAAGCGGTTGGAAGCATAATAAGTGCTCACCGAGTGATCCCTTTTTAAAATTGGTTCTCAAAATACAATGTGACAACCTGTTGACAATTCATCCATTAACAATAACACGTCGAGATAAACATCAGGGCGAGGGGCGGGTTTCGAAATGATAATTACGGTGTTTCTCATATAGAGAACCCGTTATTTAGGGATCTTACTTTAGTTCTCCAAGTTCGCACCTCAGGAGTCCGAAGATTTTGATCGTTATGACTATAATGGCTTGGTGAAATTCGGCTTATCTGATTCAGGATGCATTTTGCTCCAGGAAAACCTTGGTAGATTCTTGATGCATCTTTTCACCTCAAGCTCCACCAGAGTTTCCATTCATTCGAGCGAAGCAACTGAAGTTGTTTCGAAGGTATGCTACATTAAATTCTTGCTTAGAAGCGTCTTCAGGATGTTCAGACAGTAAACGTAAAATAAACGAATGCCATTTGTCACGGACAGTCCTACCAACTCTCTCAGTGGTTAGGATAATTTCGAAATGTCGGTATTTGGTAGTTTTAGCCTGCTCACTTTGCTTCATAAAAATTCATTATTCCCGGATGAGCTCAATTATTCGCGCCATCCACTGCCATCCACCGGATCTCTAACACCCATCTAATACTCACCACACGCGCTGATGATTTCTCGTTCTTTGTTTTACCAAGCTCAGTTACGCGAGCTCCGCCAGCTGCGTGTAAGGCGATGTATCTATGTGGACGACTTTTGTATGTCCCGTGTCGGAAGAATAGCAAACCTGGAGCTGTTGGATGTCAGCGAATGTCCACGGGTTACCTCAAAGGGCCTTGCAACGTTGGCCCAGCTAAAGTAAGTATAATCGTTTCCCTCATTAACACCCAATACTGTGTCGATGGTGCTCTCAGTCCACTTCTCTCCAGACGTCTCTTTCATACGTTCCGTTCTTACCGAACCCCCCCCCCCGAAAAAAAATAAAAACAGAGNTTTGGTAGTTTTATCCTGCTCACTTTGCTTCATAAAAATTCATTATTCCCGGATGAGCTCAATTATTCGCGCCATCCACTGCCATCCACCGGATCTCTAACACCCATCTAATACTCACCACACGCGCTGATGATTTCTCGTTCTTTGTTTTACCAAGCTCAGTTACGCGAGCTCCGCCAGCTGCGTGTAAGGCGATGTATCTATGTGGACGACTTTTGTATGTCCCGTGTCGGAAGAATAGCAAACCTGGAGCTGTTGGATGTCAGCGAATGTCCACGGGTTACCTCAAAGGGCCTTGCAACGTTGGCCCAGCTAAAGTAAGTATAATCGTTTCCCTCATTAACACCCAATACTGTGTCGATGGTGCTCTCAGTCCCCTTCTCTCCAGACGTCTCTTTCATACGTTCCGTTCTTCCCCCCCCCCCCCCGAAAAATATTCAAAACAGAGGCTTCCGGTAACAGCCGCCAATGTCTCTCGCCTCTAGCCTTCCTGGAGATGCTGCTGATCTGAGAATTTCTGCTCGATTTGGAAATTTTTCAGTAGTCACTGAGACAGCAGAATACCGTGTTTAATGGTACATGACAACTGATCATAAGGTACCAGTGAACAAGCTATCAACAAGTTTGTCTCACTAAATCTTCTGCCGTCTATGGCGTCGATTTCAAGGGAGAAATGTCGTTGTCCTTAAATTCGCTCCAGACGCAGGCTTTCATGATACTCGGAACTAAATGATTTACCTGAACCCCAATCGAGTCCTTATGCAAGAGGTGATCTATCCAACAACAACTGGCTGAGCAACCCAAGTCAGTGGAGCTGGACAAGCCGTGAGCTTTCCATCAGCTGAGGCTCATTTCGTTCCGTCTCACATATTCAGCTTGTCGATGCTGTGGTAGTTCCGTTCCTCCGCTCCAGTGCACAAATCTTCATTAACTGGCGATAAATGCATTATTCGTGAATCGAAACGGAGTCAGTAGGTCGCTTTCAGTTGACACACGTACCCGACTTGTGGTTCGAGGGTTAAATACCATTACCCTTAGAGTGCACACCACAAGCACTGGGAGCACAGCACACTCCACTAATTGAAGAGTTTATGTGCAGCCAAGCGATGTCAATTCAAACAGACACTACAAATGTACGCACTGCAGGGTTCAAGGGATATAGTCATCTACTAACCCCCTAAGAAATGGAGATATACAGCATTCAACGCACACCCAACCAATCACCACGCTGAAAACTAAGCGAATTCCCATCAGCAGTTCATTGGTTCACCTGAGTGGACCATTGTTCTTGCAACGTTGACTGAATCCGTAACTACCAGCGGAAGCCATGGCGGGCTTGACCAGTTCGTTCGGTTCCTCATACTGGGCCAGTTATCCGTCCGGCATCAGCAATGTGTTCTGGTTCCCTTTAGATTTGCTTAGACAGATGTAGTTGGGGCGTGATAAACTCCTGTCTTGTTTGGGTATCACTAAAATACACGTTCAAGGTTTCCTACGCGACATTTTGTGTTACATTCATATGTACATTTCGCTTAGTAATAGTGTCTCATTCTAGAAATCTTTCGGTTCGCGGATGTCCCAATGGCTCACTATTTTAAACAGATTGTCGTAATGTTAAGACTACTCATAAGTAGTTAATATAAAAGGGGGCTAGTGATATCATTTTGTGGGTGCCTCACCAATACAATTGAGGAGTGAGATTAAACGAGATCATATCATCATAACATCATCGAGTCACACGCGAATACTACCTTAAGTTGCAGGTCATTGTTCGACTCCATAAGAACATTAATAAGTTGACTTGTTGGCATTGTCCCAAGTTTTGGTAGCTCGAGTGCGTTTACTGCTGGTTGTTCAGATGGCTCTTGATCCGCTTACTGAGCGTGGCAGTTAGGTTGCAGCAACAGTTGACGAAACATAATCGGTGCGTCCACCGAGGACGCCTGTTAAGTTCGGCGAACAGATCAGCAACCGCCTGACCAATCTACCAGTAAGTTAACTTTTGAAACTGATTTTGATTAGTAGAGAACTTCCAATATTTCTTCGCACCGAATTCCAGGAAATAAAGGATAATTGATAGCACCTAAAACCTCCTTGTAGCCTCCGACTTTCTTCACTTCGCTTCACACGTAGGAGACAAAAAACCCTACGGTGGCGAAGAAAACCATGGGTCCGTGTTTGGATTCAATGTTCGGTTTCGTCTTTCACAATCGTAGAGTACAACAAACATGATTCGGTGTGTAACACCAGTGCCACCATCGTGTATTCTGTAGTCAACGACAGCGTTGGTGCTCAGTCTAACACCAGTCTTAAGTAGCTGGTATCACTGACCAACGAGTACTTACCAGGATAAGGATTGAATAAGGTTTAACGATCCAACAAACAGCAGCGCAAGTACTGCCGAATCATACGGTGCGGTTATTCATTGATGCAATTAATATGACGGTCTTACAACGAGCCAGATTAGGAAACCGCTGAGGTAAACATTCTCACAATTTAGGCCTGAATGAGTTTTCGACTTACAAGCTGCTCGTCTGCAGGGGCTCTCTGATCATTTGACCGTTCGTAACATTCTCTTCGAGAAATACCTCTAACTAGTCGCACTTTTCAGTCTTTGAACACCAGGTCATTTAGTGATAGGAAACTAGAGAAAAGTAGTGCCCCACGCCCGACTCATTTTCTTGCAAGAGTCCCAGGACTGAAAAGGCGGCAACATAAAATGAAGTGTATTCGAAAGTGGATGGTTAACTCTACACAAGAAATTTAACATTGTGCTTCTGAACCCCATAACAAGTCGTAGAGTTATGGCTCCAACTTTACTCTATAAAGCATTGAGCGGAACCCCAAATGTCTGAAATTCTGCCTGACCCGGTGTGAAGGAAAGTAGACTTTCCGACACTAGATGGAAATATCAATAAGCAAGAATGTGCATTAACAAACATCTCTCCCTAATTACAGAAACCTTCGCCACCTCCTGGTACACAACAATCCAACGATGGAAGATAAGGAGCTGGTTTGTCTGCTGCTGGAGGAACACCTGCCCAAGTTATTTATTTCTGGCGTGAACTACCTGGGGGAGCTTCCAGAGGAGGCTCGCCGTCGCGTGGTTGCTCTGATCGGGAGTGGTAGTTCAGACGCTGTGACTGTGAAACATCTGTCTGGAGATATCAGCACCGAGAATCCCCTCACTTCTGCTGGGGAAGCTAAAACTGATGAGGAACCCAAGAAATTCGAGTACCAGCGGGCCGCTGCATGATGCTTCTAGGTACTGAATTGTACATAGTTATCTGCCCTTTCTTAGTGATTCATTATAACCAATAAAAGTGCATTGAAAGATAGAATTCATTTTAGTGACAAGTAACCGGGTAAAATATCACAGTGCGAATACATTGATGTTAAGGTAGCTGTTCCATCATGTGTTGGTCGATCCCTCCGTCTTAGCGTATTGTGTGAGTTCCACGATCTTCTGAAGTCGTTCCATAGATTCGGCGTTAGCTCCCCAGAGAGAACCAACCTATAGTAGAAAAAGAGGAATGAAGTTCACTACTGTGAAGTGTTTAAGTGTTTGTTTACTTTTGCTGTGATACTGTCCAGTCGATATCTATGGACCTGAAGTAAGCAAATAAAACATACATACGCAGCACACCATACGACATAAATTACTCGGTGGGGTTGTAGGTCCTCTCGAAAAACACGGAGCTCACGGGGGATGTAAGACTGAGAATTCTGGATCACTTGCAGTGAATTCACCAGGTTTGTTGACCGTCATCCTAGACCATGTGGCTGAATAGCAAAGCGCTGAAAACCAAGCCGTTTTTGAAATTACTTGTTTGGTGATGTTGGTGTTCGTTCAGTTCAGTTCATTTTTTTCAGGTATAAATTAAGCCTCCATTACAGCGGCTCCAGATGCTATAGCCTCGTTAACCTGGAATGAGCAGAATAAGTGAATAAAAATCAGGCGTTGGATGTGATCGCTCAATCAGTTCATCGAAGTTAAATCGTCCTGTTGTTTCAGTATGTTGAAGAAGGGGAGAGCTGTGTAGTGAAGGTAATACCTCTGATGCAGGATTACTATTGGCTGCGAGGGAGACATATCCACCATGTCCACTAATCGTTTATTTGTCTCGTCCAGGGACCCACATCCAGGCAGTTACCGACGCGGGTGAGTGCGTTGAAAGTCCGTTTTAGTGTCAAATAACCGGGTAAAATGTTTCTATAACGCAGCGATCAAACGATAATATGAGCGGACTGTTATGATGCCTGATCCCGGCTCCCAGTACAAGATCAGGAATGTTAAGGTAAGCCAGATGGATTTTGGGAAGTTCAGTCTTCCTCGTAGACCAGCTGGTCACACTGCGCAGATTACGCTGGTTAGGTCGTGTGCTTCTTATGCTGGAAACCGTTTGCCTCGTGGATCCCCTCTTCGTTCAACCTTTTGTCGGGATAAGAGGATTCAGGGGCGGACAGTCCAGCTGTAGCGCCGTTTCGGTGCCTAGCTGCTGTGTCATCAGAAGGAATTATGAGGACTGGGATACTGCCAGGTTGCTCAAGCCTAGACAGAGGAAGTTGAGAGGCAGAGGTCGGGTCCGAACTACGAACCTTTTCGTCAGCAATTCGCGCTCTAACCACTGAGCCATCTCATCTCAGACAGCCCATGATCTTACAAAGGAGCATGAACGCCCATACCACTGTTATGGTTTGATCACGCAGCAAGCAGACGATAATATGCGCGGACTGTAACGATATTCTATCCCCAGCTATGTTGCTTGATCCCTACTTCTAGTGCGGTGGAATAGCAATAAGACGAAACCTTGGACACAACTGTAATGCTCCGAACAACAGGTGGTTAACAAGTGATAACCGAAAAATGACAATCCATATGTATATCCTTAATTTGACCTTGAAAAATGCCGGAATTTCGTTAGCACACAAAGATACATAGTTTTTGGGGGTATTGATATCCGCAACAATATCACAATCCAAATACATTGAAGTTCCAGGACCACTATCCAAGAAGATGGCAGTTACCGATGCGGCTTGTTTGACTGGTAAGGACATAAGTGTTTGGCTGCCAAACCATGGACTGGCCTGATACGTAGCTGACTTGGTGAAGAAGGCTCTGACAATACAGTTGAAGACGAAAATTTTGATTGAAGTGTACTGTGTACACGTCTTTATGCTGCTCCAATCGATGTGATGATTGTATTAGTTCCGATGGACACGTTGACAACCAGTAACTGTCGAGGTTACCGTGCATACCAGGTGGAAACTTAATACTATAAAATAACTCAAACTACTATCCTTGGTCAGCAAAATCGGGTGTGCTCGACAAAACAGACATCCTCCCCGGTCCTCAACCAATAAATAGAAAGGTGGATGCAATCAATAAACACTGACAACTGGGAAGTGTACCGCGGTTGTCAAGGTAATATTCCTATTGTGGTTATAACAAAACGGTCCTCGCGGTTCTAATAAAAGAAAGACCGACGGAATGGGGTAAATCGATTTGCCAACATTTCCGCGGAACATGTATCAAATCGAGAGTATTCTGATCAGTTTTAACAAACCCTGGTGATCAGCGCGCGCCAGAAACAGCAAAGGTGCATAACTTGAAAGCAGTGTCCTAGCCGTCTACTAATGGACAGGACTGTCATCAATGAAAGAGGATGATACATAACGATACCGACCTATACGTTGTGCTGATGAATTGGATAAGGTAAGTAATTCACGGATCTGTTAGTGGCTGAGAAAATGTCCATAGTTCCATCGTCTGATAACAATTACACTCTTTTAAACAGATACAACTCTGGATCAGCCTAATATAGTAAGTCAGCACTGATGTTCCAGTGTTACGCATCCGAGGGTAGATTCTTGTTAAGTAGTTACCACAGTGACAAAATCCGGAAAGAAGGACTAACAGGTCCTTTAGAATAGATCGAAACTGAGGTTGGAAAGCAGCTATGGGTGGTATAAGCGGGTTGTAATTAATTGCAACCATCATCATGTTGGAAGTCGAATAAATATACGTTGAAAATCCGAGAACTACTGTACAGCTGCTTCATCTTTGTTGGGAGCCATCATCTCCCCTTCGAGATTCGTTTGATGCTCACCGTTGATTCACAACAAGTATGGAACAGTTGTGCGGTGAGTCCTCCTCGGCCTTTCAGCAAAATGAAATCTTGGTTAAAATTTCAACATATTATGCGCGTTAGTGCTCTAATCCATCCTGAAAGAGCAGGCCGTACATAATGTGCATGAACCACCGTTTCATTCCAACCGGGTACTGAGATACGCAAAACACCAAGCTGGTCCTCAAAGAGGAATGTTAGGAGCACATCGCTGAAACGTGAGCACGTCTGCCTCTTCGTACATGAAGATTTAGGTGCGTCCAGCGTCCACTGTGGAGTACTGGTTGCACGGTCGCCTCGCACGTCAGATGTCTTTAGCTCAAATCCTCAGCACGGCCAAAGATAGTATCCACTGCTGAGCGAAACCCGATCGATATTTTACCTGATTCCGGGGGATAAAGGATGGTGCGAAATACTTCGTCGCTATAACCTATCTGTTTGGTTTCATACAGTTAACGAAGGCCGGACAGCTTCATTTTCCATGAGGATGTAAGACATATTGTTCACAGCATGTCGGTGCAAACAGCAGTTAAAAAACACAGACACCCACCTGGTCACGAAAAGCACATGCATCCAAGTACAGCTGGTGTCGAATTTTGTCATCATCGGAATAAGTGCCGTTGCCGGGAGGTCCCGACTGGTTGACAAAGGTCGAGCCACCACCACGTCGAACTTCCCGCAGCTTCCGCAAGCTGTCCTCCATTTTCTTGACCGCATTTAGCACTTCTGTCAACTGACCAAGGTAACTGCAAAACAAATGAAGTGCACTGACAAACACTGTGTAGAGAAGACCCAAGCATCCGATCATGGCAGAAACTGAGGTCTGAGTAATGTGTCGACGAAGTCGAAGACACATGGACCGTTTTTCCAATGTACTAGATCCTTGGATTCCCATGATTTATATTCTATATACATATTGTGGCGATACCGCTGTATTGCTCTTTCGTGTCTACTAAACCTCTCTTACTTGAGTGATTGGTCGCTGGGCTAACCAAAGTTACTTGATCCGAAGAAGTTCCACTCATCAGAAGATGCAGGTACAACTTGGAAATTGTTTGACTGGGTGATGCTAAGGCCTAATGCTTATCGAGTTGGTTGTCGACGTAGTCAGGCAATTTGATCACGCGACTTTTGTGTTTGACTACCCGGCAAGTCCCAACAAGAGCAAAGTTCCTGTGTGGCAGTGGACTTAGTAAAAAGGGAATGTCATTGGTTGATGACATGTCTGATGAGTTGCCAAATCTCATCAGAACATGTACAAAAGTCGGCATCCGAGTCTGCGTTGTAGACAGTCACTGTCTGCTTGAATGTATGCTTTCCAACTTCGCGACCGCATACTCAGCAACTTCCTGGGGCTACCAGTAAACCCCATCACGGGATTACAGACATTGACGACAATGTCATCATGAGCAAAATATTCAACAAAAATGTACTTTATCCTTGATGACGTCGCCAACTACACTTCGTTGGTTGGAAGCAAATTCTACGAACATACAACTTAGCCTAGACAGCCCACAGACCAGGTCGATTTTTTGAGCAACTGAGCCGCACTATCCCAATAAAAACCAGTCACCAAATCAGTTTTTTAACTCACAGAACATGGATTGAAGCACGGTAGTTCTAGCTGTTATGGTTTGGTTCACGGAAGACAAGAAGAATAGGGAAGCGGGTGACGCGATGGACTGGTTTGTGGAAGCAGACGGATCTGGTGGTCCAGTATAGCAGGAAATGGAAGCTAAACAGTAAGGGCTATAGCATTGATCGGAGAGCTCCACTGGCTTGCAGACAAAACCAAAGCTGTCAGGATTACTAACCACTGATTTACCTCCTCTCGGGGAGGAGGGCGTCCTGGGGTACGACAGTTACCAGCGCTTTCAAACTTTGTTGCTAAGTTATGGATTGACCGCCCCCGGGTCATCTCTATACGACGCAAGACTGGTTGAAGAGGGCCCTATGAGGATCCAAAATGGTCAGACACGGTAAGAAGTAAACCAGAACGTTAGAAACGCTGGAACAATGGTTGCTTGAGGAATTTCCAAGTCAATTCTGGCCACCCAAAACTGAATCTGCAAATGAGTCTGTAGGTATGGAAGCACGAACAAAGAGCAGAAAGGTAGCTATTAGTAGGTTCATAAGAACATTCACTTAAGTGGCTGTTTAAAGCTGGTAACAAATAGCCGAGATATCAGTAACAAGGTATTTGGATTCCAGTTGTGCTGGAAGATGGGGTGTATTTCGGATTTTTAGCCGCTACAGATGCTCAGTGATCTTCATAGAGAAGTGGTGGCAGCTACACGATATGGAAGCTATAATTGCGCGACCAGGTGATTTGAACATTAGACGCGGCTTGGTAGAGGTAATAACCTGAACTTGAACGTTTCCGCCTTTCCTTACCTCTAGATATTACCTGCCTTTGCGGTTTCCTGTCGAATGCTTTATACCCATGATCCTTCAGGTTTGATGATCTGATCGTTTTTCCGTGAAGACCCCAATCGAATGAACGTTAGTAACTTCCTTCATATGACAATACTCATAAGTTCGATGGAACTTCCGAACAGCCAATAGCAGGTTAATTTGCGAATGTCTGTCATCACGGTGGTAACTCCTGTTTTCACACCCTCCATATATCCAATTTCATGTTGTTCGGTTACTCTCACATGGTCTGCTAACTACTAAAATTTCCTCACATAGTCATTAATGACAGCAGGTAGCGGACCGAGATGTCGCAAAATTATGTGAGCTCACATGACCCTGCGAGAATACCTTTTGTTCTTCATGCTTGCTTCACATTCGTTAATGGGACGCGTTTCACTGATCTGAGATATAAGTAACGTGGTGTGGATAGAACGTAAATGGTCCGTCTCCAGCAAGGAAACACCCAAATTGAGGAAGGTAATTTTCATGTGAATGAAAAGTCAATGTGGGTAGGATCAATAAAGAGGAGTCTATATCCAACAGATTTACTACCATTTAGTACATTTCGGTTCTCCATGGACTCGACCCACTTAAGCCTTACGGAACTACCCGGTCTTGTGTGAAACAACTTACGGTGACGCTGACCGCAAAAAGGTTAAAAAAACTGACAAGTTTCTAGTACATTGGGTGACAGTTTTCTTAAGAAGATGGGTCTGTTGTTTGTGATCCCGTTGTTCCACTAACCTATTCCGATAACAAATGAAGGACTCGATTCACCAACTGATGGATGTGAAATGGACCCCGTATGCTGTAGAGCATGATAACTGATTCTGGATGGCGATAATCAGATGGTGATAGTTTTACCTCGTCACAAAATTTCGTGTACAAAGATACTCGGAAATGCTGTAAGGCCGCACATCCAGATGCGAATTTCCATAGGACAACTAGGCATTCTCATTTTTGCAGTTTCGCAGGTGCAGTTGTTCCTGTCCAGAGGGACCACGTCAAGAGTCATCTATGGAACCACTTGTTGGTTGGGACGACAATCAAGTGTTGTTAGGAACTTCGGTCTGAACGTCTACCTGAAGACTGTTTTTTAGACTTATAAACAATGTCTATGGAAACTGCATGCTTAACAGCTTTTGCGTTCCGTTTAATTAAATTAATTAATCCGATATGTCATAAAGTATACCGTGTGACGGTGATATACTATTGTCGGCTTTAATGGGTTAGACCTATTTGTAATTAACTGCGATTCGTGAGTGGGTTGATTAGTGGTCAAGTACAACTGCCCTTCTGTCACCACGTAGTAAGAAAATCCAAATATCAAGTGCTCACTTCTTGGCTTGTGGTTCCGCACATTAAGCATTCTATATGCAGCCTTTAGTGCCTGAAACCTCAGGGAAGCTTACCAACAACCTGCTCTTGAGCGTACTCCTGATTCTCTGTTGAGAGGTTGACTGCAATCCTGGAACCCGAATAAAAGATCCAAGTGCAGCAACTGAGCCGACGGCACCTCCATCTTTCGGGTGCTGTTGACTGGCAACTTCAGGTGATTCTTCATTTGTCGCAGCCAGTTGAGCCAGTGTTTGTATAACGCTCAGCACCCAAACTTAGGCCCCATTGCTTGGTTGGATACTTGTGAACTCCCGCATTTGTACCGCTCGTCTGCCCACATACATAAGGGCTCACACCGGCTGAAATATTAACCATTTAGTTTCTGCTAATGCTTTTACGAAATTTAGCACTGACTCCACGAAGGCTACCTAGCTTCCAGATATAACCACACTCATCATGGAGAGTTTAGCTATAGGTTTAATCGCAGATTTCAATGCGCAAGTAGGACGACTCAGTTCATGCCAGACGAGACTCAGTGTCAGGATGCAACGACCATGGTGGACGTCTTTTATAACTTTGTGATGACCACCACTTGCTTCTCGCCAGCACTGGGTTTTGGCGCAGTGGGCTTCGTTGTGCTACCAGTATCCCCTTACGAATGAATAGCCGTAGGTCAAAATCGATTGTGGCACCGTTAGCTGACGGCGGAGAGACTCAATACTCGACTGCGCATCATTCTGAAGTACACATGCCAATTCAGATTATGCTCTCGTCCTACTCGGTTTTCACCAAATTGCCAAGGTAAACCTATGAAGTAAACTGCGTTTAGCAGTAGAAAAGTTCTATGGTCAGGAACTAAGCAAACATGTCATGAGAAAGCAGTCTTTCCATAAAACGTTAATTTACACTGAGAAGCAATGAAAATAGCTATGCGTGATGTTGGGAACCTGGCATGTGTTTCCCGGCATGTACACACTGAAATCTGAATCTCAGAATACTTGCCATCACTTCTCAATAGAAGATGTATCACTTCGAGACCAGAGCACACTTCGGCCAGACACTGTTATAGGTCAACTCAAAAGAAGTCTGCGTGAGGATAGGGTGTGCGATAACTCGCGATTTCAAATATTGGCAAAAGCTTGTGCAGCGAAGTGTATGGGAGCTCTTCCAGCCGCTCCGACTCAGAACACCGTCTGTTACTGAGCCAATCAACGATAATATTGAACAGAACATTTTCTTGGCCATCGACTTCTATACCTGTCATTCATGCGACCTCTCCTGAGCTCGAGGTTTAGTCTTGTTAGGCAGGAATCCACGCGGATCCCACTATACCGCACGTCTTTAGGCGCTGCTATGGCCGAGAAGCCTAGCCCGCTCGAGGTTGGCCCAAAATTCGGGACGCTTGCCGGTCCGGCATCAAGAGGAGATCTGATTGGTCAACAATCTGGACCCAACAGCCAATCATGACCCAGTATTGGCCGAATGCCGGTTGCCAATGGAGCTCCAGAACGCGTCAGAAATTCCAGAAAGTTATAGCCGCTTACGCTATATATACGGAGCGCTGTACAACTGTTCCTGATTTCGTTTTGGGCGTTAATAGACCTTGTGCACCTTTGGTGTTTGTTTTGACGTGAACGCTAGCTTGGGAGGCTCAGACCGAGAACTAAGCTGAGGAAAATACCGTTACAACAAGTCTGTGGGTACCTACCTACCTAAGCATTAATATGCCTTCATGCTTTGAAGCACAATAGAGCTACCGGTTCAGACAAGCATCCAAAAGCACCGCTCAAAGGCAGCGTTGCATTTTTGCGTTTTCCCATAGCTTGATTGTCGAACTTATTTGGGAGCAAGAACGCGATTTAGACAACTGCTGCCAGTCCATCATCATACCTCTATTGAAAAAAAGGTACACGAGGCGGCTATTCTAAACATAGAGGGATCAGCCTGACGCCTGTCATAACGGGCTTACTGACTTCAATAATACTGCGACCCCTGAACTCTGCACGCGAGATGACCGAACAAGGGGGGGGGGGGAGGATTGCTTAAACCGACATACAACGTCCAATTCTGGAGTAGTGCCACATAACTGCGGCTTTTCTTCCTTCTTCCATGCATACTTGACCAAAGAGTAATGGTCCCTCTCATACGGGGACATTACACAGATCAAAACGTTTGATTATCAGTCGCAATAATAATAAAAATAATAGTTCGGCTGTACCGTCCTTTCGGCAGATGTTCCATCCGTAGGGACCATGAGAGCTGAGATAGTGCCAGATGACCCGAGCCTATACAGGAGCAGGATGCCGGAGAAGGAGGGGGGGGGAGGATTGCTTAAACCGACATACAACGTCCAATTCTGGAGTAGTGCCACATAACTGCGGCTTTTCTTCCTTCTTCCATGCATACTTGACCAAAGAGTAATGGTCCCTCTCATACGGGGACATTACACAGATCAAAACGTTTGATTATCAGTCGCAATAATAATAAAAATAATAGTTCGGCTGTACCGTCCTTTCGGCAGATGTTCCATCCGTAGGGACCATGAGAGCTGAGATAGTGCCAGATGACCCGAGCCTATACAGGAGCAGTCGAGATGCCGGAGTTAGGTTCTCCCGGTCAGTAAGTTCATGCCTTAACCACAGATCCATCTCGAATTGCCAGTACCTTTGCAGTATAGCAACCGTTAGCTGACTGCGGTGTATACCCTAGGGATTGATACACAAGTGTTATGAATCCGAATTACTAGAGGAATGAGTGCAACGTTTCGTGTACTACAAAGGCTCAACTATAGTCTATCACAGAAAACACTACTTTCAACTCAGGACTCTTGTTGGCGAAACGGCCGCGGAGGACACGCTATGACTCGGCAGAGCGAAATGAAGGCGGCTACTGTCAAAAGAAAACTGAGAGATNTGGTTGGGGTGTGCATGATTCTCCTTACAAGCGGTATATAACCAGCTCTACTCGCGAGCATGCTGTCATGTCCTAAAAGGGCTACTTCGCTGAGGTTTGTCTGTCGTCCTGTGACACACTAATGTCCAGTGGGGATCGCAAAGGAAGTTGAGTCAATCCCATTGGTGGCGTCATTGATAAGATGCTCACAGGGATTTAGCTCGTTGCTGTTTCAGGGTATGTGCGCCTTGTTCGATAGACAATATAGTTGAACAAGTGTGTGACAACGTCATTTCTTAGTATCCTGATGACTTCGATGGTAGTCCAACAGGGAATAACAACTTGCCCGTCATCTATTTTTTAATGACAGTATAAGACTATTCCAACAAACACTAATGTGCTCCATTCGCAAATACATAGGATATGAACTTCTAGCCATCCAAATACGTGCTTCATATGTATTCTGGCCATTTATGAGGCCTTCCTCAGCGTCATGTATTCCAAACAAGGCGGCGGTGGAGCACATACTGGATGTCATTCAAGTGAAAATTCTAAGGACAATCTACCCAGTTCAGGTACCTGTTTTCTGTTGTGTGTGAACTAAGTAACTTCTACAACACAGTACGATACGAGGTTTATGAGAAAGATCTGTTTTTTTAGAACCCTGTCCAAACGGTTCGGTCAGGACATTGTTCAACGAAATTACTGTCTGCTTGCCGTCAAACCTGCATTCAAGAGACCATACCTTCACAGACCGAATTTCCAAGTGTAGTGTTTTTGGGACGACAAAATGGCCAACGCTCCTCTAATGTGAGAACTTACGCTCCGGACACCTTGGCAATGCACTGACGAACCAATTCAGCCAATGTATCATTGACACCTGCACACGAGACTGTTGCACTAAGGTCGGAGACACGACGGAGAGGGGCAATCATCTCGGCTAAATACGCAGATGCTGCATTTGGTAGGGTCCTGTTAGTCCGTCGATACTGACGCGGGATATCCAAAATCATCCGACTGACCGACAAAGAGGATTGCTACACAAAACAATGGGGAAAAGACAGTTACCGCTAGCAAAGAAGGAACACAAACGAAAAAAAGCGTGTGTTCGTTCACATCTACGGTGAACCCTTAAGGGATAAATCTGGGTCGTCCATTCGTACCGACTACAGCGAGCACGAAAACAGTTAGAAAGTGCCTAAATATTGGTAGTTCGGGTGAGCTTATTGGCTGAAGATTAGGTGACAGTTGGTGTTGGCAATCCAACCGCACACTAACGATGTCTCCTCGCACATTGACGAAACGCTTGCACAGCAAATCGCACGTTCGGCGAACAGATAACGTGTCACCTGGTCAACAGCTAAGGTAGGGGAACAGTTGTTTTTATTCGTTTACGGCAACATTCAAAATACACTTTTCACATCTGATGCCTATTAATGTCTCAATTAATCATCATCCGGCCTGCTGTTGGACTACTGAGGGTTTTCCACAGTGGGAGAACCGCCTGGGATACTTTTCGTAATCTTCAATCCTGTGAAAGACCAAGAGCGGGTAAGCTAGTGTGCTGTTTTTGCTGCAGGTGGCCAAAGTCGGCTGAATGTATGACAGACTAGCAGTCTGTGGAATAATATGAGCAATCAAATTAAGACCGAGCACCCTATATTCTGTACTTGGCTCTGGATGAGACATTCTCATTGTTTTGTAAAGGACACAACGCTTGTCCGCATTTTAGTTTGCAGTGAACGAGCTGATGATGCATATTAGACTGAGAAAGGGTTTTGGTCATCACTCATCCGACTTTCTGTAAGATGAGCCCGGAAAGAACCCAATATACAATCAAGTGACAGGATACAGGATGTTCAGGCATATGTTTTACTGACAAGATGAATAACCTAGAGAGGTTTTGAGATTCGCTCTGTTTTCAAAGCATTCAGGAAAAACACTTCGATACACAGGCTGCGGCTTCCTACTTATTCGATATTCTTAAAGAATCATACGTGAGAATGTGTATGCCCAAAACACCTGACAAATAGTGGTGAGTTTTGGGTGTTTGTGTACAACAAGGCCTCCCCACATCGAACATCCCTTTATGGCTGTCGCTTTTGGTCGGTCTGGTCAAATTCCCGTTGTGTTCCCAGTTGACTGTCGCTAATTCATCCCTAAGTAACCGATCTCACTGTCCTCCTTAATTTAAGGAACGGATATAAATGTGTCATTTGGGTACGTTTTACATGACAGACAAGTGCCGAGTTACACTGTGATCTTTAGCACTAGTTCTCACAAACTACCGTCTTCGATCGGTTCCGCTGGTAGTCCGTGCAGAGGATTCTACAGTAAGGTAACAAAAATCGAAAGATGGGATAACATCGTCGAAAACGTAGTTGACGGACCAAAACCGACGATTCCCTCCACGTCCTAGACATGTGTTGTGAAAGCAAAGACAAAAACGACAGAAAATGTCCGGATGTGTTACACTGGTTCACTGAGGATTGTCAGACCATTGGTAATGATCCTACTCAGTAGCAGATTCTGCTAGGACTATTTTATCGAGGAGTTATTTCCTAGGGACTAGTCTGACGAGGCGAATTCCGTGTAGGCATCAAACTCGATATTTTGGACGCAAAATCATGTATCAATTAATTGTAAAATGTCTGTACTCAATCGAAGGGTCATCCTTCTGAGGAGACGAAACTGTCCATTAAAAATCACCGATTATATTTAAACACTCCCTAAATGAAGACTGAGTTGGTTTCCTTTCGTTATATCCATTGTAACATCCGTTTGGGGCCTCACTTACGCTGTTCCAGGATGCACGCATTTCACAAACGATGACTACTTACATTCGCCGAATGTCAGCGGTTACTGAAAGTATTCCAAGAGTACTCGCCAAAAATGCAGCAGTTACAACACTACCCTCACTTGACAGACGATGTCCCGATGTTACAAAATGACAATTGTGATATAGTGAGTCGAATTGGGTATATCGTTATATTACCATGTTGAACTAACATGAATTCCAATTAGTCTCCTAGAATCGAAGACAAATGAGTCGCTGCATGAGATACTAGGTGCACTTCACCGTAGCTCTCCAGCTGTATACTGAGGAAAAATATAACATACCAGAATTTTTCACCACTGACACGTTACTTCAAGTCACTCACGACGGGTAAGGAAGTCACATAGACGCAGTTTTGATTTTCATTTCCGGGTAGCCATGGATTCTCTATGTTTTCTTCAAGTTTGTGACGGAGAAGCTTTGTCTTAAGCTACTCAGTATGTTGACAAGCCAACAGGCTGTCCAAAAAACCAATGGTCTTAATAGCGTTTCGTACACTAACTGAGAATAGGTTTAGAACAAACGGTAGAGCGACCGCCAGTCTTCATGAATCCGGCTACTAATTTTGCTATGCTAAAATGAAATGGCAAGGGAAAATTCCAATTAATAACAACTGCACAACCCAAATGGAACTATAAGCCTCCGTGACAGTCAAACTCATTTAAATCTGTGGAATAAAACTGAATATGTAAGGCGAAGTCTCGATAAATGATGTAGTAATCTGACTACAACTCACATGGTACGCGCATTCAAACAGGTGAAAAGAATAAGTGCGCGCGCAACCTCAGTTAAGAACATTGAAGCATACCTCTGTTTGTGCAAGTACACCATCACCGAGTGGTTTGGCTGCTGCAAAAAGCTGTTCTGCCGTTTCGGCTAAACAGTCAGTAAGCCACAGGGGGAGATCATTGTCCGTCGTTGATTCGTTCCGAATATGACCCAAAGCTGGTCGGATCAGGGTAGGTAATTCAGAAGTCGCGTAGGTGGCTACACGATGGACGTCGACCAGCAGGTAAATCGACTGCTCCACAGAATCCAAACATGATGACTTACGAGTATAAGACAAACAGACAAAGGTTAGGACAGAGTTAACTGTGATTAAGCAAACAAACCAACAAGTCGAGTTTTAAGCAAGTCTCACTCAACCACAGTAAACCAGTCATTCGTCGACTTTTTCTTACCTTTGTTGGTGCTTACATACGATAGCAGAGTCTGTATCTAGAGCTCGAGATATCTCAGTGGTTAAGGCCAGCCTGCGGATCAGAAGATCCGTGGTTCGAACTCAACCACAACATCACGACTGCCCCTGTCTAGACTTGGAGAACATGGCAGTATTTTAGCCCTCTTTCCGCTGGCATGGCAGCTAAGCACCGAAAGAGTGCTGCATGTGAACTATTTATTTATATTTTTATACCTAAGACGGCTGACGGATACGTTGAGCACAGGTGATAAAGGCCATCTACCATTTGTTATTCTACTTGGCAAGATAGAATGGCTGAATATTCTGGCCTTCATTTAAAGTAGATTGTTCCTGTAATGATTAAATTACCCTTGTTTGTAGGAGAGGTCAGGCATCCGTATTTATTACTGAGCTATAGATGTCCACGATGACGAAGAAGGCGGTAGGGGGGCACTAGGAGTGGAGGGTTTGAAGGAGTGGGAGTTTGAAGAACCCCGGCCTGTGTTGTGATTTTGCGTGTACAGGAAAACCTAGGCAGAGTGCGCCAGATACACTTAGTAAGCCTGAGGCTTCTGGTCATCGAACTTTAAGACGTATTCGCAGAAAACAACCACAACACCACGTGACGAAGGATGACCCTAGGAGATCGACCCATCCACTACTCATCGAAAGGGTTTGCCGTCAACCGATTGGATACATGCTTAATGGAAGCCTTCGTGGTATAAGCGGAGAAGTTCCTTATCACATGAATGATTGGGTAACATACCTGAGCATCAGGGATTCCTTTTTCATTTGAACGATTCACGACAAAGGTAGCATAGCGACTAAGTAGCTGTAGCGTCAACCTGAAGAATCGATGTTTCAGGCTGTGTAGATAGACGCCTTGTTTCCAGCACCGTTGAACTTGAGTGAGTAATGCATCGGTCACTTCTAGGAGGCAGCCTAGATGAAGAAATTGGTGAATTATACTGATTTGACGAAACATAGCGCGAGTGTAGATTTTGCCTTGCAAAGATCTGACAGTAAACGAAATTTGTGAGCACAGTTGGCGGGCAGCGGACAAACCATATGCGGGCAACTACTAACTTCATAAACTGAGGGTTAATGGTAGTGATATGGCACCCGGCGTAATATAAATCAACCGGTCGCTAAAAATTACTAAGAAAGGTCAGTCCACGTAACGCCACGTAAAAAACAGAGGAAGACAAAAACTGCATATGTAGACAAAAAGCCTATAGCCATAAGGTTGGAATACATTGCTAGAAGGACGAATGCGGGGTTCTATAGCTCCCTAACTTTGAAATATCACAACTCCTCTTGTTCCAAACAAATATTCGCAAGTGTCTGATTTGTACCTCAACAGCCAAACTTAGCAACGCAAATTTTAACTTCCATGAGACACACTACCAACTTTCAGTACTGCGACTACTTTGATAGCAAATACCAAGGAGGTTTCATCACGCTTCAAGTTATATGCTTTGCATCCGGTCACCAGAAGGCCCGTGTTGACTGCAGTAGTACCAGTCACCCAAAGTTCGAAGTATCAAGAAGCGATAATTTATCCGCGACAGAATATGTTCCGAATTTTTAGACGCCATTAGAAAAACTGAAAAAATCACTGCGACACCGTTGTACGAATACGCGTATTTTTGGCTTCAGATTTGCTGTGCACAGACCAAGAAGATTCACATTTCAACTCAAGATGAGTACTGTGTAGTCGCTGAAAGGTTCAAGCAACAGGACTTTGGTCACTGAGCACAATCACACCACATGGATGGCGCATCGGTTCGACCCTGCGATGCGTCGATTCTGTATCAACCATGAGCCAAACTGCTATTGCCGAAGCATCAGGAAAACGAGTTTCACTTAGTTTTGCTCGAGTTGCGGACTAATCCTTCGTCTATTCACCAAATTGAACCGGCGGCTTTAATTCAAGCCACATAGAAAACAATAATCCCCGACCGCCCTCAAATTGATAATTATGAAAAGACACTGCACCGTAAAAGTGATCGACATCTTAAATCGATTTACTGAAAATACCTCATTATGGAAGGGTCAACCGTGGTTGTGGATGCCATGCCCGGATGTTCTTAGAGCCTGGTAAGATTCTAATATGAAGTAATTTGAGCAAGGTTGTCTTGCTGTAGAAAGGAAAGCGAAAACAATCAAAAGTGGCTTCTCGTGGGAAAGACGCTTCACATGGCTAACCATTTCATGACTAGACACTCCAAAGAGGACGACTATAGCAAATAACGTTAGATCCTACAGTATGTGCAGGCGTGGTGTGTGCTGCTAATCATTAACATGCAACTGAGTGCCTACATTTCCAAAAGTAATTCATGAAACCCTTGAGGAGAGAGTTCGAGATCGTTTCTAGGTTCCAGGTATTGGCTGACCCAGTGCTACATAGAGCCCTTCATATAAACTGAAAGTAAATAGATCGGGGTGTTTTAAAACTGTAGATAACAATACCTTGTGAGCTATTCTTCGCCAATGCTAATTCGTCTCGCATGACAGTCTCAACCTTCGCAGCAATTTCCTGGAACCTACAATGCACACAGCAAAGCAATGGAAAACATGGGAAAGGTTCACAACAACAAATATATACATTTGTAATCCGCTGTTGACCAAACAGCAGTACATCTTTTATCAAATTTCGACAAGGAAACAACAGTTTGGCCTTGTGTACTCAGGTCGTAGCAAAGCGTGTGAGACACGCCAGAAGTCTAAGTCCTTCATGTCTGAGCTTCTGCGATGTGAATGCGGTACCAACTAAATATGAATTACAAGTAGATAGTGTGGCTATCCGGTCGCAAAGAAGAAAGGTCTGAAGGAAACAAACATGGATACCCGTGAATGAACAAAACATCAATAACCTGCACTACCACATCTTTCAACAGAGAATGATAATGGGAGACATGTAAGTCAGTAAACAATAAATGTATATCCCGGAGAACTGCATGAAACCTGTAGACCTTATTGGGGCTTACCGGGCACATGAACATTTGATTAGCATTCATAAGCTGTAGATCTCAGGCCAGTGTGGACGGATGATGAGGATCAATAATTCGCTGAATTAAAAAACTGGTTATTGCAAGTAACCGGATTGTTAAACTTCAGAATAGTACAGATCTCTTCAAATAAGAGAGATGTTTTTGCTATCGGTCATGGGCCTGTGTGGTTCACTTGCCGACTTTGCTTCAAAGAACGCAAATCGCTCTGTCAGATATCTCCTACAGGATGGGTCAATGAGGTTCAGTCCCCTGGATTTGCCCTCCGTAATACGATGTGGGATTGGGTAAAGCTCTCTATGCATAACTCGATGGTATCTAGGCGGTAAACGTCTAATTTTCCAAAGCTGAAAGGTGATCTTTCGTTAGTTTTGTGCTCACAGAACATTCTCATAAACGAATTTGGGGCGTATCATCCATTCCATAAGCTGAACGAAATTGTTTATCTTATCCACACTTTCTCAGTCTCTCTACAAACAGCGAGTGTTTCGGTCAGGGAGAGCTGGTGTCACCTTTGCGTAAAGAAGTAAGATCTACGACACAGCAATTTCTTAGATGCAGGAATGGGATGCAATATTCCTGACCTATTAAAATCATTCAGAGTAACAACTACCGAGACATAAGTGTGAACCAGCAAAATACAAAACTTCTGATCCTGTCTCGACTACTTGTTTTGGAAAGTAACTTCTGGTTTGATCTTACGCGTTAACCCAGAGAGAATAATTCTATTTGATGAGATGCTGTCGAGAAAAACGCCTGTTAGAGGTGAAATAAGCAAAGGTTGACATGCTCTGAGAACACGAGTGAGTGTCTACAATCACCAAATCAAGGAGTGCATCAGTAGCAATGTTCGCACAGATGCGCTTCCTACCCAGGACAGCAATGATGCACTGGCAAACACTGGGGGTTCAGGAATCAGCGTGAAAAGAAACGGTAAACTGCTGCAAACATACCGTATCTGAAAATAAACTGGTAGACTCCATTTGCTTGCGAACTGGTTGTAGGCAGGACTGTTTCGAAAATAATCCAGTTGTTTGGTAGATAGGATTTTTGCCTCCAGTTTCGAGATGAATTTCTGACTCACAACGTAGAGCTACAAGGTGCGATGGGGAAAGTTCGAAGTGGGAAACCTCTCAGGACAAAAGAATAGTGGCACAGAGGGGTTTGTCAACAAGTCTTTCCCGTGCAACTACTGTTTAGAATGCTAAGAATACATAAAGTAGTCGGAAATAGGAAACCGCGGTCTGAAGTCCATAAGAGAAGCAACCTAAGGATTCTGAAGTAATGGAGTTGATAATCATGTACTGTTCAGTATCGTGAACCACTGAATACAAGCTAAAATCCGGGCAAAAACTCCTTATGCATACTGGAGACTGGGCATTCTAATTGCAGTCTCTGCAAGTGGTGCAGAACGTTTCCAGAAATGGACGCGATGGGTAGATAGAGTGAGTTGTCCTATGCAATCTGGTGGTAACGAACAAGGAGATAACCTTCTCCAGAGAGATAACTCTAATAGACCGGCTTTGGGTGGATCGTAACCGTCAATTAAAGCAACAAAACATCAGTGCAAAGTTGTGCCTACAAAAGACGACAGCTATAAGTATAGATTGAGGCCATTCGAAAAAAAAAACAAGTCATTGATTGGATCCACACTTCTGATTCTTGAACATCTACATGACACAACCTCACTCGTCTCTTAACAAAGACACGGCGAATCCGGTAGCGCTTTTCCCAGTTCTGTGCAGTCTCATTCATAACTTGAGGTCGGCAGTGACTGTTACGGGCGTTGCTAAGTTGTCGCTGTTGCCCTTGCGACAGACAAACACATTTCACCTGATTAAACAACGCATTAGAGTCTAGTTGGATTGGTGTTAGGGTCAACGAAGCAATTTGAGGAAATCTTACCGTAAGCTTAATGTTGACCTTAGCTGGACTCTGTGTCTGTGCCTCATTCTGCCACGGTGGTGTGAATCACAGTGTGGTGTGTTAACCTAATGTGAACAACAGTCCTCCGGGATGCATATTACTGGAGAGGTTAACATGACGTGAATTCGGTAGGTTTTGTATGGACAGGGAACGGGAATGATTAATCATTTTTATAAGGTGTGAGGAAGCGCAGCATTGTAGTTGAGGAAGTCGAAAAATCGTGTTGCATATATGTTGGGAAGAAGCAAACATCTATCTAAATGAACTGTTACTGTTTCATTACACTACGGAGCATTTTTGGTAACAAACTGTACAGGGAGCTGCGTATCAGTGAGTCCAAAATGAACTGAACCCACCATGCGTTAACGGGTTTAGAAGTAAGAAAATGGTTTGGAAAAAAGTATAATTCAGCCAAGAACCGACCTAACGTTGTGTGGAACGAATTCACCAAATATGTTTGGAATAACAAGTGGACAATTATTTTCAACGATAGTAAACAGCACGTTCAGCATTAATTGGCCTGTCATCATCAGATGCATAGGAAGGTAACGCAAACTAGGGCATCTAAATGACGACGGCAGCTTCACAAATCCAAACCTGTGAATAGTTAAGTACCAAACTTACCTCGAAAAATCTGTCCGGGTCTCCAGGATCGAACATGTCAGAGAGATGAGTGCAAAGCAAATCTACCGTTTCCGGCCAAAATCCATCCACCAGGCAGTCAAATTCAGCCAGAGGATCGTAGCTACATGCGAATATGATGGGAAAATGAAGAAAATGGGGCGAAAAAGTGAGCAGTGACTGAATCTACAGTGGATAAATTTCGATAAGTAAATGTTTACAACCAACTAGAACGATTCCAACGGTTGACAGATTAATAACTTGGTGAATGTGATAAAACTCCTCCCGCATTAGACACGCGACAAGTTGCTATATTGGGAACCGAATTCGTTCGGTAGTCAGTAGGAAATAAACACGATCTGGAATAAAATGTCCAGTGTGGTGGAAAATGACGAGTAAGGTACAAATTAAAGCTTCGGAAAATAAATTAGCAAGAATTCAGCATTTAACTGGTCCTGAGAAATACTAACATTCCCAAAAGTACGTGTGATACCCGGTACCATGTTGGTCAGTGATTAGATGTCTAAAAGCCTTCTGGTCCTCCAGGTAGGAGGTTGGAACTGCTCTGCCGGTCTTACGCCAAACATCGCATCCTTTCGGTTTCGGTCGAGGACCCTAATTATCCTCCTATCTAGGTCAGGACTTCCAAAGATACTTCGCCATACTTACACTCACATCGGTACCTTTCCCACTTCGGACTACCGATTCGACCATGCTCACTCGATGCTGTTGGATGTCTTCCGCATCTATTTTCCTCTTTCGCTGGAGGGGGAGTAGCTGTAGCGACCCAGTCACCCACATATTTGACTGTTCAACTCAGCCGCTCACTGGATCGCGAGGCTTGTCTTTTTTCTCATAAGCACAAACACGTCGCATTAAGCTAACTCATCGGACATCGATTGTCTGCACCGCCTAGTCAGCGTAGCAACCACTCATGTGCCGACGCGCCCACCCATACGCACTGGGACCTACATAAAGGGAAACCGCAGTCAGTCAGGACACAGACTCAGGCACAGTGAGGATCACGCGGTCCCCGTCCTGCAATTATCTCTTCTGTTCACGATAAACCACGTAGAATGACTCACGATGCCAGTGTAACTGGGTCTATCTTGCGCACTGCACCGCGGCTGCACCTGTGCATAGATCGTCATGATTGGCTCATTGTCTAAATTCCATATTAGTTTGGAAGATCGCACAGACTGCAACGTCACAATGGATCAGTGTAAGGATTAGACCACACCCCCTTTCACTAGAGGGGCTGGGGCGAACGAATGAAATATGGTTTTGAAGATTCCACATCGTTCGCCTACGAAACTGGGACTGCGAGTTGGCTAAGAATGAGCATGACAGCTTTAGGTTTGGATAACTTGATCATTTAGATGAAGCGTCTTAATGTGAAAAGAAGGAGAGAAGGTCACTGGGTTATTCTAGGGGGGAGGCATTCGCTTAAATAACTGGAAGAGACTGGAATCAAGGACATAAACCAGATCGTGACCGTACCTTTCAGCTCACAATGAATTATAGAAGACCGGTCAAAGACAGCGTCCAGGTTCCTCTAAACATTCTCCATAATATTCTCATAGTATGAACACTGCATCATGTGCATATCTAGCACATGGATAAGTGGGGGCAGCATATTATGATAGTGTACAGCGTAAAAGTGGTCCAGTATGAGGTAAATCCGGTTGGGCTCAAAACTAGTTTCAGTTGTCACAAGACTAAATGGTTCTAGTGTACAAAGATGTCAGAGTTAAGAGGGACTGTTGGGATTTTTAAGAAGATGAACACCCGAAAAAGGCCTGATGAAGTGTTGAGATTATGGGACGCATGGGTGCTCATCACAACTCATTGATGATGTCATCCTGACTGGTGACGAAACGCTCAGCGAGCAAACCAACAGTCAAGAAAATTATGCCCGCGCTTTCAGTCGGTGCCGACTTTCCGGACAGACTGGATTATGACGAATGGTTTCCAACAGTAGGTCTCGATAACACTTGATGACCCTTGTGGTCGAACTGGGTATCGTTGGAGAGGAAACTAGCCAACAACAGCCAGCTTAGTTTACGATGCATTAAAGACACCTCAGTCATCAAAAGCATTCCCTGAACCGCGCTAAAACAATCCTTTACTTTTTAAGCTTTCAAAATTATATTCAGTTGAGAAAAACCTTCAATACACTCAGCACGAATATGGCAACAAAGTCCATCTTTTCAAGCTTGGAGAACTCAGTCTGATTTTTGAAAACCGCAAAATAATCCCAAACACATCGTTTGGAAAGAGAGCAATACTCACACATAATCTATGACAACTTTCTACTGGAAAAGGACTAGCCAGTCTCAAGGATATCTGGCGTCGTTGCAGCATGTAGCAAACTTCGAGTACAACAGTATCTGGTAGTAGTACCGTCATTGGGTTCATGCGGCATTTTTAGGGGATCCGGTCGCTAGCCAAGAATACACCACGCTCTGGTGGCATCGTTACCAAAGCTTACTAGACCCAAGTGTGACAGAAGTCATACCATAGTTACTGCTGTCGCACCAAGACGATGGTGCTAAGCCCAGCCGAGTATGATATTTTTTCGCGCACCGAATCATCCGTGACGAAGAGTGCTGTCATGTCCCCTCTTCAGAGGAAGCTCTAATAAGGAATACAACCCTTGCAAAGGGGTTGATGGCATTGGCATAGAACGTCATGGGGGCGACCAGCGGGAAGGCCTGAGAACCACCCTGAGATACTCAGAATATCCATCAATCTTAACTGCCGAAAACCACATGACGCCCTTAGGCACTCCTAATCCGATGTTCCTAACAAGGTTGGGCAGCACTTTGGAGACACCGATAATCAAAATACGAAAAGTCTGCTTGTGTCATGTCTACGTGCATTGATCCACGATATAATATTGATGAGACCAGGGCACCGGTTTTATTTACGTTACTGCCAGGGTTTGCATTTATTACAGATAAACGCACAATTGAAAGTTACCATAAGCAGGGTACTGGGACCATAGTATTGTGAACAAAATGGAGTGCTCACCTCTCCGAGGACCGGTGGAAGCTGAGTTGATGCAGAATATCAAGTTGATGTGACAAGACCTTTAGAGCCTCAGTGTACATACCGTCCAGAGTGGCCACGGCTTTATTGGTGTCCGATCCCCGTGTAAGGAGCTCGGGACGGGGAGTAAATATCTGGACAGGAGAAGCAAACCCATATTCGAATAGTAAATTGATGTGAGCGAGAGATGCAAGCTATGTTTAAAAAATATGTCGTGTTTAGGATGGCATTCTTTGAAGGTTCAGCTGAACCGTCATTCCAGATACCCATACCTGAGGAGTTCCGAAAAAGAATAATTGGTGAATTTTGATCAGCCACACCTTGCTAGACAAACTGCAGTTTTCATAGCACCGACCATTAAACAGGCATACACGAAAACCGTTGTCGGATTTTGAAAATCTCTGCTACACATGCGCTTAATTACGACACTGTGTTTGTGTACTAATTATGACAGTCGCGGTGTGCAGATGCACAAACAAATGACCAAACGAAGTATATGCAAACAAGCAGGCGTCTGATAGGGTGTCACGTGGGTCAATCGATGCTAGCGGATACACACGTATGGTAGACGATAAAATATCGATCAACAATACAGTGACAGTACAGCTTTAACGTAGTGGGCGACAACAAGTACGACCATCGCAGTGTTCATCGGTCTCTTAATGCTTCCCATAGGTACCGATGACAATGTGCAACCCCAGCGGCCTGTGACGAGTGGGATTTTCCAGCAGGTATGAGTGATATTGCGTTTGATTCCACCAGGTTGCATCAGCCATTTTAACGTATACAAAAAATGGTGTCAAAGAATGAATATTCCTTTAGCCAGGTACCCAAAGGTAGGCAGTTTCTACCACCTGAGCCACTACTCTCTGTGGCATGAGTCATAGCACCCGCCCCAAAACTTCAACATTTTCTAAATCTATCTTATGTTCCGCGATAAACATTTTGTTTGGTGGGATACAACCATTTTACGATGAAAAAACTCAGCTAATCAGTATTAGACGTACTTCTGACCCAAACAGCGTAATATTTCCCTGGTGTCTTTATCACCTTTATTATACACAGTGGACCGAAGAATATATGGAAGTGTATCTAATGCTAGAGTGAAACAGCCTTGCCCAAGGAAGGGGCGAGCATCGCAGATATTAACGGTAAACCAGATTATCCCATAGACTAAGAAAGCTAAAAATGCCTGTAATAACCAATCAAGTAAAAGCATGGGATGCACGCATTCTCTACTTTACATCTGTTCATTCTCTAAGTGTTTTGCTTCTTGTCAAACCTCGAGTGAGACGTCATTTTAAAATAAAGCAACCAACTGATGATAAAGACACTTGATTTTACTACCACTCGATGTGCACGGTAACAATGTTCAGTCTCACTCCCGGATAATCAGTAGAACAATTCAGTAGACTTTCTGTCCTACCAGTAGGTCTCTAGTTCTGTTTACAGGAAAAAACAGCATAAAATGGAGTCAAAGATGTGAGCCCCAAGCGATAGAGAGAGAGAGAGAGAAACGGAGGGAGCGCGATTTTGTTTAGTGTTGAGGGCTCGTTTCCTTTGGGAGAGGGAACGTATTAAACACATTTCCATCGAACAGGCTATAGCATATTGGTGCACTAATTCTTGGATGAGAATACTGCATTTATCCTCTGAATAAGAGTATTTAATAAAAATGAGGCTGTTGTCATCAAGTGTCCGAAATATATACAGCACAAAAAGCTACGGGTTTGGAGTCGGAAAATGGGAGAAGGCGATATTGGAGTACATGAGCAATTGCAAAGATGCAAAAACAAACAAATTAGTAGGATATCAACACAAACCTTAGATAACTTCGGGCGTACAGAATACTGACGATAAAGCTGTACAAAATCGGACAGCTTGTCAATCATCAGATAGGTGGAAAGCGCCTGACGGAGCAATGCGCCCGCATGTTTGGACACGACGACCTGTTCGCTTGAACTGCTTGTGAGTTGGGCCACATCTAGGGCGGCTTTGAGACGTGACTCCAATTGCTCTTGCAGAACAGATGTGATCCACTGGATTCGCTGCAATGTCGTCGAGATCAACGAAGAAAATCCTTTAGACTGCCAGTATTAGATACGTATAGAAATTTCACTGTGGGTTAAATCTAGGACCTAAATCTGACAGAAATAAAAATAGCACTGTTTTCAATCACTGCAAGGAATTTCGGCTGACAAACATCCATAGACCAAAGTAAAAAAGCGTGAACATTAGGATGTTAAGATTGGAGAATGAAACTCTATCTCAATCCTCCATGTTTCAAAAGAGATTGTCATAAAAATGAAAATGAAAAATGACAGCCAGGTTTGAATCTGCATCTAGTGAAAGGCGGAAACTTGGAGCTTTCAACTGATTAAACAGTTTTGCTTAGCCGTGTGCACGTCTACTGGAAAACAAATGTCTTTAAAACTAACCACGTGATTTTGAAAACAGGTGACAGTGTACCGGTTGCCTGTAATTTGATCGCTGGAGTGAAAACATCTCCTCGGTTTCTTCTCGTATGTAGGCACAATGTTGCAAGCCAATTACCAAACTCAACAAACATATCCATGCCTTCTCGAGCTCTTCACCCTCCTTCTCTTAGCTCCTCCGGAGACAGGTGTGTTGTCGGCTGTGACAATTTTCTGATCAGTTGGAGGGCATGGGTGTCGAACGTACACCAACAGGAATGAGGACTATCCTGCAGTTGACTGGATCGACGCACGATGTGCTAACAACATCATTGGCAGGTTCGATTCCTAGTCAGGTTCAGCTACTCCTTAATCGTTCGATTATTGCGCTCGGTTAGGTAATTTGTTTGCGGATGGTAGGGTGCCATCCTTGGCCATTTAATGCCCAGCTTCTTGAACACTCAAAGCACGACCCATGGTCCATTAGGATCATTTTTGATGCCCTATGGTTGGCTACATGATGGATTACCACTGCATAGATCGTCGCCCGTTAATTTGATACGCCTGCCACCTCAACCCACCACGACGGGTGTTCTGTCGCTATTACGATATACTGACTTCCGCTGGCTGTCACCGGAAAAGGCCCATGACGTCAACGGACCATAACCAGTGGGCACCGTTTACAGGCCACAACATAATCCATTATCTCACTTCCCATCTCTGGCCAGTAGGCCCTCTGCCGAAGTAAATCGTACTTATTGGTGCGCCCTGTGTGTGTCATTTCGTGGCATTCGATGATCAGCATCCGTCTGAAGACGTGAGGTATCACGGGTAGCACAGCTTCGGAATCAGTGGTGTTCCTGCACATCACGCCAGCTTCATTAAAAGTCAGCCTATCGCAGTGACTGGAACGTCTCCGATTCTTTGTCACACTTCCTGTTCTAGATACTCCTTGCGTCCAACAAGGCCGCTGGATTCTGCACCAATCTTCCGTGATGCAGTTTAACGATGAGGCTATTGGCGGTAATGGTAATCTTTGGGGTCTCGTCTCTAGCCTCTAAATCTTGAGAGACAATCAGCCAGGTTGTTCTTCCCTGGCACGTGCCGGATAGTGAAGTCATGCTCTCGTAACCGGAGTGCCCAGCGCGCGAGCGTTTCGTGGGGATCTCTGCTGGTTCTGACCCATTCAAGGGGTATGTGATCGGTTTAGACGTGATGTCTCTGTCCAGAGTCCAGACGATCCCTAAACGGGGTCTTCAGTGCCGCCGGTCGGTCTCCAGTCTAGCCGCCTCCGCAACATCCTTGAAGTCCTCCAGGACGGTCTATACATCCCCATCCCTAAAAGGTTATGGCCACAGGAGCTTCATCCATATCCTGGCAATGGCACCAAACCAAAGGAGGAAGGACGTTCGCTGCGAAATTATTTATTGGCAGTTAGAAGTCAGTCAGGAAGGTAAACACCTCACCTGCATATCGTCTTTAAAATCTGAACATTCCCATACATCCTCTTGAACTTTCCGGATATTCATTGATTGGTGCACAGTAGTAAACGGACACCGCAGAGCAGTTCCACAGGTTCCATAATGAACTTCACTTTCCATCAGATGCGGGGGGCGGAGCTTGGGCACCAACAATAGACTGCTCGCATGCATCATCAGCAGTACCCATCGTTACACTAGTGGTTCTACGATGCCGAGTGACCGTACAGCTATTTACCACACTGTAACATGAAGTACAAGCGCAAAATCGGGAGTAACACAGATGTGCACCATTGGATAGTCTACCGTCCACAAGTCTCGTGCAGTGCGTTAACCGCATGAAATGCAAAGAAGTCTGTGTGTGCGCAAAAGACAAGAACGAGTGAACATGATAGTTGGCACACAGGACTCAGTGTTTACATGTTTGCTTTGCGCAAAGGAATGCGACCTCAATCACAGGCGTATCGGATGACGCTGACTAGAAACGGAATATGGTAAATCAGTCCATGTTTCGCATCCGAAACCACTGATATCAAATTAAAGGATCGTTAATAAAAAGAAATATGGTACAAAAACAAACCATGTCAGTGTATCTCAATGAGACAAACTACAGACTTCGAAAAGGGGAGTAAGAGGTAGCATGAAGTTAGGAGAGAGAGAGAGAGAGAGAGAAGGACGTATTCTGTGAACTGTGTGCTGGTACATGTGTTCAAGTCATTGGCATTATTAGTGCACTGGTGATAGCCATAATACAAATCAGAAGGTACATGCACTAATAAAAGTTTTTAGTATGGTTGGAACACGTATAAAAATAAATGCAATGCGAAACGGGAGCAAATCAAAAAAGGAAACTATCGTCTGTGAGAGTTCCTTGATGAAAGTCCGGACGGCGGGAGCGTGTTCTCTCCGCAGTACGACTGCTACACGTGTTCCATAATTGTCCGTGGACTGTGGAGAGTGGCCGACTTCCTGCTCCCCGCACGCGCGCGAGTCTGTGTGTTGACTGCGTTCGGTTTCCTTATATGCAGGTCCGTTTGCGTGTACGTGGGTATGTCAGCACATGAGTTGTTGCTACGCTCGCTAGACGAGCGGTGTCCGATGTGTCAGCTTAATGTGACGTGGTCTGAGTATAAAAAAAGACAAGCTTCGTGATCCAATGAGCGACTGGGAGCTGAACAGTCAAGTATGTTGGGTGACTGGGTGGCTACAGTATCATCGGCCTTGACATTGGCTCTTGATCAAAACATACCTCCTGTACATAGTCCAATCTCATTCGGGCCAGTTCACCTACTGTAATTTCCCGTCAGTGCGGTGCTAAGATTCAGCAATTTCGAAAGATCCCGACCTCAGTTGAGCAGCGCAGCTGCCGAATTCGAATGAAGTCAGCTACGTTTGCGTACAATTGAAGACGTTTTAGTGATTCTGACAATACGCTAAGATTCCGAAAGGGAAATCGTTCATATAAGAGGGGATTTGGGCGAACAAAATAATTACCGGTTTCATGCACTGAACGATCGGATGGTCATGACACTTTCTGGCGAAAAATTGGAGCTTGATGTATTCTGTAGCGACCCTCTCAATGCGTTGCCCCGGATCCTCTTGTAGACTGAAAGGAGAGGGTAGGCGGGAATGGAGGATACCGAACTACTGCTAGTATACTTCAAGAGGTCAGTAGTCACAGAACAGGATGCCTGACAGCCAAAATTGACTAGCTATTCAATAAAACCAGCATCCGAGAATGAACGACTCTAATGTGCTAAAAGTTGTTTTTATGGCAACTACTAACTGGCCACTAGATAGATTTTATGTTAGGAGAAATATTTTCCATCAGTCCGTGAAGGACGAGGGAAAGAAAGTTTCGTTTATTTGCTTACTACCGATTCTTGACACTCGGAACTTCTATAGGGAGAACCACCAATAACTATGCAACTAATGAAAGCCAAAATCCATAATACCACAGCTGTGCAGCTGACTGACAAGCATTCATAAGTCTGCTGTCCCATGTAGGGAAAAGTCAACGCTGTAAGAATAACAGGATGAGCTACAGGTTCATCCACACACCACACCAATAACATGGGAGGATTGCCTACGAACGAGCGGACCACAATACTGACAGATGCAATTTGTTTGATACACCAGTCCTGAAATTTGCAGCAGCATCTCACGTTGCTATCAGTGTTAAACCGACCGAAGTTACTGTTCACCAGCTACAGGCAAACACATGGATGAAATTTGGAGAAACAAAGAAGACTGAGTGGAGTTGGACACTATGATTATGGACAAATGTAATGGAAAACAACCATGTATCAAGGGGTCAGTCTGTTGATCCACAGATTTATTCAGTACTCGACATAAAACAGAAATAGATGCCCTCTTGGGGTTCACCGGTCGGGAGTGAATTAGACGATCGCACTTCTTGTTCTTCTGATTTGTGAGCGCAACATGCATGAGGACTTGTGCTAGTAAATTTGAACGTTTCTGGTGATTTCAGGTCAATCACTAATACCCCGTGGTTAGGCGCGTGAAACGAACGCTTTCGAAGAGCCCCAATCGCCCCTTTTTTAGGCGTGGGAGTCCAGATAGTACCCTTCTTAGTTAACAAGAATGAGTCACACCAATAACAATTATATCACACGACAAAGAATGTCGACCAACGTCATCAGTACGGACACAGCGGGATGGTTGTGCATAACCATATTACTGCAGGCACTTTTCGCACCGGCTACCACTGCGTGTGACAATGAAGCGGATATAACCACTGCAGTGTAGTACTCTTCGTAATGATGGAAAGCCACAATCCATTCGAAGTAGTGTTGTATACGGGGGTAATTTATTCCGCGAGCTAACGAAGTTTTACCGACCCTAGTGTTCGGCAGATTACTAGGTTCTTTTGTCTCCATTAGAGCAATATCAGTATAAATGATGAAGTTCACGCTGCATTTGGACGTCAGATGTGACCTGATGATTGCGTTTCCGGTCTATTCAGAATCATATGATGTCAGGTCAAGCCACTAGGATCAAATGAGGCAGGAAAGTATAGTGTTGTTAACTGGAAAACGAAAACTCAGGGCAGCGCATGACCGACTGTTGCGACTTCAGTAAAACATAAAAATACCTTGCACTCTGGAGTGATGGAAGAGTTTAAGTCCATCTGACATTTGATTTCTACACGCTAAGATTGCCAAAATTCCGTATGAATTGTTAGCATTCTCAAAACAAAGTTTCCTGATGATTGTACGATTTACCTCAATCTTCAAGGTAATAGGTATTCAAGCACGCAAGTGCCAAGGACATGATATTTGGTGGGCTGATGATGTGATGGTTTGGGCGAAATTGGAGGTAGTCAATTCCGACAGTTCGCCACTCGTTTATCATACGACCCGAAGAGTGAGTGAGGGAAGAGAGACTGCCATGTTGCCCAGGTACGTACAAGCCAGTACACCATGAATATAAGCACTTCAACTAGTAGCATGCGACTCAACGATGAGTTACCTCATCAATGCACCTTGGAAACTGTCCACTGTGAAAGGGACTCAATACCATAAAGACAAATTGTCTGTCTCGAGGTAGTGTTATCTGGTTTCGTTTATCAATGCGAGCCTCATCGAATCTCTTAACATGTTTCCTTGCGATGGTTACCAGCGCTTGCGCAATGGGATCCTCTTACTTCGCAGCAGAACATAAACCAGTCTTAACAGAATCAACTCTCATTGTTCATGGCGGAGTACGGTGTGACATGCGTTAAACACGAGACCACATGTACTATACACGACAGTGTACGTACACTGACACTATAAATGACATTCACGAGGGGATGTATAAATGCGGGCCTCCAATTAGAAAAAACCAAGGTGATTTCTCTAGCTGATGTCGAAGGTAGATAGAACCTTGACAAGAATTCGGAACTGGTGGGATCATTGGCTGGCAAAGTCACTTATAACATATCCCTCCCGAGGCGACAAGTCAGACATCCAGGTTAACGCCGATGTACAACACCAACAGCATTTTATCTATCTGAACTGACCGAGTGACCGTGGGTTCGTTTGGCTAAAACTGGGGAGATAAGGAAAACGAAATGATGACTGGGATAGATAGGGGATGGATGCTACCTGTCAAAGAAAACTGGAGAATCGCTTACGAGAAATCCGCGGTGAATTCAGTCGGCCAGTCAAAGGAATTATCTTCTGAAAGTTCGGCGTCCAAAGCATCCCCTTGTTTACCATGATTCGGACAAGTTCGTTTCTCGTTCGCGAAGCTATCTGTAGCTTGCGCGGTGAGCCAACGTTCGAGTCGAGTGACACATTCACCCATAGTATTCAAACTGTTTAACAAGTCCTGTAAAGAAGTTAAGACAAACAATAAAGATATCGTAGAAAATCAACTCCAACGCATGATTAAGGATAGAAATGAACGTGCTGAGGTGGACAAAATAGGATGAAGACGATCAAAACTTCAATACAATTCCGGGAAAATCACCCCAGAAAGTCGCACATTTTACATTTACATATACTATTTTTCCAGACCACGATACAGAAAGTGCCAAAATATTATGCTTCATTAAACAGCTCCTAACAGGGAGGAAACGATAACTGGCCCTTTTCCTGTCAGCAATCACGAATAGCACAATGTTACACAGAATTTCTGCTGTCCAGAAGTTATTTACCACCAAAAATTCTCCTGACAACTGGCAGGCAAAACCGTCTTCAGTTATCCGCAAGAGTTTTGAAGTGAAATATTTCTTCTATCCTCTATCTCGAAAAGCTATAACACACGAAAACGTCAATACTTAAGAGTCCACAGATGCAGTATCATTTGTGACTGGTTCACACAACGTCTGGATATTTGTCGTTCTTCTCTCAATGATAAGATGGACAACTGTCCAGTGGACTACTAAGAAAAGGGTATGTAAATTTAATGGAAGCTCTAAGCATTTTGGTCCCAGTTGAACAATTCGATAATTGGGAGCATGAAATTGCTCTGGGCGAATCTGTCGACGACCAATAACTTACCGTGTGATTGAATCATTTATATTTACAAGATCGAACACCTCCGACACGTCACTGAAGCGCACACCTAGAGCAAAGTTAGCACCTAGGTAAGCGACCCGAACTTTAGGTTCAATGTACAGAATTTCCTTGACACCTCTCTTTTTGTAATAACTCAACTTCTGACATGACTGTGCGGCGAGAAACAGGTAGATTTGTCGTTAGCGAAATACACTGATTTGCAATTGCGCGTTGACAAGGGACTCAGCTGAATCTTCGGTTTTTGATATCGTCTCAGGTGCCAGTATTTTAGATACGGAAGTGTAGTCTTTCAATATAGCTAGCTACTTATAAGACCATCGAAGGATCTTTAGCGACCTTATGCGTAGTGAGATGTAATGAATTCAACTTTGTTCCAATACAGTTTCGCTGGTTTGGTTGGGTTATAGGTTCATGGACTTGTACTTAAGAGGAGCACATTGGTCAAACCGATATTTCACTATCATCCGTGTCCGTAAGTCCAAGTTGCAGTTCATCAGTCGCACAACGATGAACAACACATATCCACGCGAGTTGCGAATGTTGGACGGGCTGCGTCAGATCAGCAAAAACGTCGCATAGGCAAGAATTCACATATCATTCGTAATTTGGACAGGAAAGTATGAAGAAGCGATTCGACAACAAAATGCCAGTCTTATTGTGGACGAATGTGTCATGAGGTGGCTTGTAGGAAGCAGTTCGATAATGGTAAACAATCAAGGGAACATATCGAATTAAGGAAAGTATCCATGAAAGTACAACAGCATGAATATTCTTCCAGAACAATTACATGGAAAGTACTTTGGGTTAACGAGTACGACAATCACAGAACATTCGAGATTAATTTATTACCTTTTTGTCGCGCAACTTTTGACGTTCCTGAAGCTTCACAGTCAGCTCTTGTTCCACTGCATCCAGCTCAGCAATCACAGCCTGTAGAATCATATAAAAACAAATAGAAACAGATTGTGTGCAGTTATAGCACAGACAGGAAGAAACCTGAGAAGCTTTTGTAAGATTTTACGCCATGGTTGAATACGTATTTGGTGGAAGCTCGGTGGCCATCACGCGCGACGGTTTGTCACACGTAAGATGAAGGGATTGCTAGAAAGGATTCATCAGTATTTGGTGTTCCACAGAGGAGTTACAAGGACCTAGGTCTTCTGGGTAGTGACCATCCCAAGAAACTGTGAAGATATTCCGCTCCACACCAATAATAAATGGATTAAGTAGGCAAACCAAAGGTACGTCGCGTGTACATATGATATGATCGGTTGTGTTACGTAAACCGAATCATCGTCTGGCGAGATGAGTGCTGTTTCCCGTATTGCTTTCAGAATGCGAAGTAGACAACGCGTGACTTAGCAGAAGGGTGTAAAGGGGGGTAAGAAAGGTTTGGGTGTTGCTGGTGCTATCCGGCTTCCAGGATGGGATATAGGTGACCTCCCGTGCATTCGTAAGAAACGGCGGTTAATTAATGTCAGTGATGTTCCCGCTGTCATCTTTTCAGTGTCCATCTGAGCGTTTGAGGGAGGACAAAATGCTTACGATAGAGTAGCACCAGATAATGTCCTTATCCACGGTTTGCTCTTTTTTGACCTCATTAATTCAGGTAAAATTAAACGAACTTTGTTGTTGCATGACAGAGGAGAGACATAAAATTGAAAAGGTAGCATAAGATGGAACACCCTCCAGCCAAGATGCGGTCAGTTACGGATAAATCCAGTTCTTCGAAGAAAAACGAATAGTCTGTGAACTTTAAAATAAAGTAGACAAGATCCGAGGAAACATATAGCGAGTGACAAGACGGGCAGTAAAAGCCGGGACTCATATACCACCGTACTAGACCAATCGGCAGAGATCGCAGGTGAATTGTGTACAAAAATGGTTATGGATGTAGAGAACGGGATGATGCAATAGGAACTATATGCTGAGCAACTCCGACCGCAAGCAGCAGTGCCGTTACACGTGTTCAAAGAACGAGACGAATGTAAGCTGTAGCACAGTAAGTAATCACAAAGATGAGTCACAGGGGAATTGGACCTAAATAATACAATGAAAAGCGAAAATCATGGATGCTCTAGGTGGCGTATAGGTAAGACTCGCAACACCCCGTGCCTTATGAAGAGAGCTTCAAAAGCTTGGGAGTTCACGTGACTGTAGTGCTAAGTAGACGGGAATAACCTTGTGCAAAGTGAACAAAGCAAGAAGTCATGTGACGACTTTGTTAGTGAATGCTTGGGCTAGTATACAAAACTGAGAGTAACTATAATTTGCGACGTTCGGTCTACGATTGGGTAAGATTAGGTTGCGCAATCATTTTCTACGAAATAGGAGAGCTAAGAGCACCTCGAGAAAAAATCACCACGTAGCCGACGTACACAATATAATCACTCTACATGTAATGAGCGTTTGGATATTCTTCCGTGATGTATCGTCCAGCAGTAGCAAACTTCTGGTGCCTAGCTGCCATGCCATCTGAAGGAAGCACGAGGGGTGAGATACTGCAAGGTTGCTCAAGCCTAGACAGGGGAAGTCGAGATGCAGAGGTCGTGTTCGAACCACGGACATTCCAGTCAGTAAACTCGCGCTCTAACCAGTCTGTCGTCTCATCCTTTCCGTGGTATATAGACGCAAATAAATTCTTTCTGGAAAAGCATTAGCCTGTGCACCTAACTAGGCCACTGTTGAGTGTATGACTAAGTTCGTTCAAATAGAACATATTTTGCAAGTCAGAAGAATGTAGGACATTAATATCGAACATGCTAATGCCCGAATGATAAAACAAATGTCACTCAGGCACACCAGTGTCCATCAGTCTCTCCGCTAATGGTACCGTTTGCAGTTTTCATTCGTTATAGTATATATAACGGTTCTGTGATTACATATTAAGGCTCACCATGCATTACTTTGGTAACATGCATTAAAACCACGCTGAACAAGTGACAAGCAAAGGTTAGTTAATACAAGAAAGCTCAAATGGTCGGAAATTCTGGAGGTCTTCAGACCTAAGAGGCTCCGCGACGTCGGAATCAGATGTATCAATGCGCTACAGTCCAGTAGTGAGGCAATTTAGATGCTGACAACACCTCACAGCCGATGTAGCATGAAATTGAGAACAGCGGTGAAATTAAGGGATGTATGCGATTTGGAATACTGCAAGAGCACCAAGACCTGCAAAAAAGAGGATTAGGAGCAGTAAAAACGATCGGCTGTGTCACGTTCACAAGCAAGCAGCATATCATACGTTATTGGGCATCTCAACATCTTAACCATGATCGACAGGCTACGGATCCACGCAGCACATTGATGACGAAGTTGAATCCGCTTCTCCGGATGATAGGTAAATTTGTGCACAGTAAAACCAACCACGATGTTCGATCCTACAAGCAACACACTAGTGCCATAGTGGCATTCGAACGACACAGATCCATCGTTTTTGGAGAGTCGAATCACTGTCAAATTCACCGTTGCGGTACCCGATCATCATTCGTCACGTTCTTCAATGGGTTTGTCCAACTGGTCATCAGAGTTTCATCTTCTGATTTGAACGGTGCACGATGCAGATGTTTCGACAAGGTGGTTTGTTGCAGTTCAGCGATGAAACGTTGAGCTAAGTTATTAAGGCTGATGGAGAACGGATGCTGACATACAGATAACTGCGATTTGGATCTCCATGAAATATTGACTTATATGTGCTGTGAAGCTATTTTACTCTTGGTAAGAATCACCAGTAGCGCACACGGGGGATTCCAACCCGTGACATACCCGCTAGAAGCCCAGTACTATACACTTCGGCCTGGAGTGGCTCTTCAGGACTTTGATTAACGCACACTTAGGACTCGTTCAGTTGTAACACCCTTTCGGTGCCTAGCTGACATGCCACCCGAAGGAAGCACGACGGCTGGGATACTGGCAGGTTGCCCAAGCCTAGACACGGGATACTTCCAGGTTGCCCAAGCCTAGACAAAGGAAGTCGAGAGGCAGAGGTCGGGTTCGAACCATGAACCTTCCGGTCAGTAAATTCGCGCTCCAACCACTTGAGCCATCTCACATACTTAGGACACAGTACCATTATCCTTAAAACACAGTTCACTGTAAGTAATCTTACGTTGGCCGTTTCCACGAGTGATAACTTTTCAGAAGGAACGCTCACTCGACCTGTGGAACTTCTCCATTTCTGAGATTACTCATACTTTGTACGGGATGATATGCCAGGTACGTAGCGTTGTACACCCGGAATTTGGGTTGGTACAAACTGGTTGAGCGGATTTTCAGTGACCGGCCCATTTTATCACAGATCGTTGCGACAACATACCCCACCCTGATTCACGTCCCTAGTTAGACACATACTAGGATGACAAAACACGAAAAAATGGTCAGAGAACTGAAACAAACCGGGGGTTGGATATTGAACACGAAGGGCTTAAAAAGTAGATTTTCGCACGCATTTCATCAGTTTAGGATGAAAAAGCAAGGCTTCGCGGTGCTTCAGAAACTCACCAAAACCGAGGCTTGGAATTCCTGCAACGGCATGGCAATGTTGTCTATCGCTTTATCCAGACCGACTAGATTGCTGGACAGGTTGACAAAGTCCGCATAATCCTGGTTGATCAGTTCCACCAAACTTGACTTTAAAATATTGGAATACTGAAGTAGACTGTCGCGCAGATTTTCCAATGAAGCCCCACGGCGCTCTTCAGTGAGAATGAATGCATCCGAGTGGAACTCATCCTGCGAGTATAATAATAATAACGGTAAAGATAGCAATTTTGGTAGTGTGGGGAGACTTGAGACTTCTAATGGAGATTTCATCCTGTAATTGAAACCAATCTCTGATTCTCGGCTAATCAGCACAGACTGGTTCCACTTTAGAACTATATCTCGATTAAAATAATAGAAACATTGGAACCAAACCTAAATAGTCGTGGATGGCCGAGTGGAACAGGTCAACTTCAGAAAACCAACGACCGACTTTACTTACATAGGACAGGTAGCTAGGGGAAATAAACCCGTTGTTTAATGCACAACGCATTTAATATCTATCCTACAAATTTCAACGCATGTATTTTCAATGTAAGAATGCTTTAGTGGTCGGTCCAAAGGGGGTAACCGTGTCGTAAGAATCAACTCTCCTGTTTGAATGGATATCTTCGATTTCTGATTAGCTTGAATGCTGCTTTAGATCACAGATGTCCCGACCAAACCTTTACTTTCCTGTACTTGGTGAGATTCTGGACATGAACCTATGGGTGTCCACAGCTGAAGTAGCGGAAACTCCAAGGGACTCTATTGTCTGGAATATGCTTCACATTCGAGGGTTTGAGGGTACAGGCTCAAAAGGGCATAGATACCGTCCATAGATACCATATCACACATTCAATCGGTAGTGTTGTGACTAGATGCACGATCGTGCAACTCTGTATCGGTCCCTTGGCTTCCTGCTCCGCCCAATATGGTATATCAAAAGGCAGGGTAGCTTTGCACAGCCCTTTATGGAGACAAAGGAAAATTATTACAACTGTATTTATAGGGTAATCGCAGAGTGTCCCACAAGGTCATGCTAGAATCTACCGTGAGGGAGCGAGAAGCGTCGAGTCAAAGGTGCTCGAACCAGATTGACTGGTATTCTGGTCAATCAAGGCACGCCTTCGTTTGGTCCGTGTCCTGCACGTGACACACCCGTCCAAATAATGTGTTGTTCGGTTATTAAGGACGGCTGACCTCCGGACAGGTAGCGAGAGCGATACTAATGCCAGAGAAAGGGATACAAGCTACTCCATCTGTTAATTGCGCGGTCGGGCTCCTAAAGATGTACTTGCCATTCAAGATTATCGCATATAACAATCTTCCTGTTCACAGTCACGACCCATCCCAGAAGTGGTAGTGTACATCATCATAATTATCTTCGAAGACAGCAAAGTCAGTGTTGATAATTATGCTTCGCACAACCACAAGATCTGTTTAATTGTAGGGCTTTAAAGTGAAAAAAGGAGGGACGAGGTGCTAGTCTACCGCCAACATTCTGAGGTGCCTACACCTGCAAACGCCCAATCAGATAATCTGGAAAGGAACTTACTGCTAATAAAATCGATTACCGTTTCCAGGCAAGCACAAAGGGGGTCATCTGGATACCATCCTGGAAGGCAGGCTACACCAACATCCAAACTCTTTGTAATCTCATACACTCTTGGTATATCACACATCCACTCTGCAGTCCACACCATTCTGAACGAGACAAGCAAGACAGCACTTATCTCGGCAAGAAGATGATTCGGTATACATAACACATGACAGAACAGCCGCAGTTGGTTTTAGACGTCCTTCGCAGCCGATGTACCTGCTACACAACTGAACACCCGTTTCCGAATTGCTTCATTACTGTTTCGTTGAGATCGGCAACGCTTCTTCGATTTCAGTGATTAAAAAGTTGAAGACGCCTCACATCATCTTTCTACAAAAACCATACCTCGCAATCATACGGGCCTGACTGTAGTCTAGTACGCACGACAAATTAGCAAGTGTGATTCAGGCTCTTGGGGTCTGCGCACTAACCTTATCAGACACGTCTATCAGATATAATAAAACCACTGATATATGTAAAATTCTGCAAGAAATTATTGAATTGAAAAAGGCACGTTTGGAGCATGACTTTGTACTTTGTAGATGCAATGTACATGCTGAAGGATGGCATTATGGTGGCCACGTTATCGAATGGCGCTTGTCCTTGGCCTTCGTCATCAAAGATGAGGACGACGTTGTTTGCATACTCCAAACTGAGACGTTTTGTACCAACAACCAGCTGAACGGCGATGGTTTGGAATATCACCATTCGACCCCTTTTTCATCGAAGATGAGGTTGAACAAAAAACGGAGAGAGTGGGCACCCTCGCCAGATACAACTTTTTGTAAGCACGACCTAAAGCTGTGGCTATGCTGCAATGATCTCGCAGGTTATATTGACTGGAACTCAGTTCCTGAAGGTTCAACTATGTCAGGAATGCAAGATAGGAGCGGTCTAACGAGGAATAAGGAATCCCCGTACTGCAAGTAATCGCATTACGAGGCAGTCTGGGGATAAATTCGTACTGTCCTCTGTGATAGGAGTGTGAAGGCAGTATAAGGCGTTTCCCTCAGGTGACCAGCATAACCATATTTATGGAAGCAGTGATACTTTCTTCCCCCTAGGAGCGAAGCGTTAGAAAAGGCTGGCCCTTCGATCGCCCATCGGCTGACCGTGACCACTGACACAATACGATCGAAATACTTTTAGAGCCAGTGTCCAGTGCTGCTCAGATGCCATCTGCTGTGCGCACTCGCATTAGGAGTGAGACAGTAATGTCTTATCCCCTGCGTCCTTGAGCCAGCCCTCTTCCGTAGCCAAGTGGGTCAGACCGTTGAGTCAGGGGCTATGGCAGGGTCCCCGAACAGCCCCCCTCCACATCCACCCACTGACTTGGGGGTCAGACTTTTGCGGCAGAAGATCAAGGTGAGCTGTCTCAACTAATTCCCCCTTATTCGGTTTGGGCGACTGAGAGGCATCATTTGCCCTTGCAGCTCTTCGCTAACCGGCCTTCTGGCAAACCCCCTCCCCAACCATTGAATGATGCAGTACGATCAATCTATCACTATCCTAGCCACTGTCCCGTGTCTGAACTATCACCCAGAAAAAATCATAAAAAATAAATAAATGCAAAAGATCTGAATCACGTTGCAGCATTAAAAGTCCACGTTCTATGTCAGATTGAGCAACAAGCATTTCTTGCTGAAACCTTGCCTCCTCTGTCGATGTACATCGATCTCCAAAACACGAGCACAAGACGTCACCTCGGTCGTGCACCTCAAGTCGCGTAGAACGAGTTTAAGTGTTCCACATTTCACTCTTCGGGTATCTGACGATCCTGATGCAATGAACCATTGTTCAAAAGGTACGAGAGTTGCATTCAACCGAAAGGCTGAAAGCGCTTTAGTGGAGTGGATCCCAGTAAAGTAGCCTTTGTTCTGTACCGTTGTCTGGCCCAAGTCGATGTGGTAAGTCGTACCAGCACCGACTGCAGTCCTGAGACTGAGATGGACAGATTTCATCGAGATCTGTCGCGACTGTTTCAGTCAACAAAAAGGATGGATATAGTGACCCTGGCGGGTGATATGAATGCTCAATTTGGACGACTAATCCTGAAAGCACAATTAATTGGTAGATTTGCAGTCGATGCTCACAGCAAATGCTTCAGTTGTGTGCTAATCATCGTCTGACCAGTACGAACGTCCACCAGAGACGCTCAGATCGAGTTAACTGGAGGGCACCAACCATAAAACAGCCATGGACTCCGTTGGACCATATGACTACTAGTTACCGATGGAGAGCCTCGATCAAACATTGGCGTTACTTTCGGGGGCTGCCCAAAAAGGCTGACTCGACCATTGTGCGGGCCAGGTTTCCCGCTTTCCTCTCCTTCTGAAGAATTCTGCCGGACGGTTTGGCATGCGCTTCACATCTGAAAAGTGTGAAGTGCTTCTACAGAACTGGGTAGGACCAGATCTCATGCTCGCAGACGAGCTAACTGACGTGGAAGATGAATTTGTTTACATGTACAGTTATATAAGTTCCGGTGGAATGGCTGGAGGTGAGCTTATTTCTCGGAACGCGAAAGTCATGGAGGCTTTCGCCAACCTCCGACACCTATGGCACCAAAGTGACGTCCGTCAAGGCAGAGTTTAAATTGCGGCGGCACGATCCATACTGAGGTTATCACATCCAGGCGAGTACTCCCCTTTGGAAGGTAGACAATATCAGCGACTCACCCCAGTTGTATTGGACGATGTATTTCTCCGGAATAGATGTTCATGGATTCGACATCCCATGATTGAGGAACAGGTTAGGTAGATGATCATCAGGAATACCAGAACGGATATTATCAGATAGGGAACGTTTCTGAGGCTGACAAACGGTACACCACGGCCTAGTCGCGCCATCATTGGCACTCATGCATCCAAGCCATTGCCTTCAATGCATATTTCCCTTCCCAATCTCCCCACTTAACAGTTCACCTACAAAGCTGTATTCACGCACTAATTTATCAGCTCCCGCTTCCAATGAGCAGCTACCTACCCCACCTCCCCGAATCATCGGTGAACGAAACTGTGGCAGCTACAACCACTGTACGCGGTTATTACAGCTGACAATGATGATGATGATGACGACGACGACGATGATGATGAATCTAAGGTAGCTTGCTCACTACGCCTCTTCGTACCGGTGGTGCAGATGAGCAAACGGTATTTATTAACGCTCAGTCAACTCAACATTAGCGGAAGCCACAGCATGGACGATAAATGACACGCAAAAACTATGGATAGGAGTAGTAGTATTCCAACGGTAAGCTTAATCAGTGATATGGTCAGGCTGATGAAGGATACCTACACCAAAGAGCGGATAGGGGAAGAATGACAATATAAAGATGGTAAGTCATGCACGGAAGTAAACCGATCAATATGTTTAACAAAGATCGGCTTCCGAAAGCTCGAATTTTCAGAGGTGGTAACTGCATTCTGAAGATTAAGCACATGACAATGAAGTGTGCGTGGTCCTGTGTGTTGGAAAATAAATATAGTGAGTGTGCATAAAAGACAAACGCGGGTATCTTGTGATTGTTCATTAGTCTTAAGCATCATCTACTTCTCACAATGTCCAGGCTGAAACATAGGTCAAAGATCCCTTTAGTTTACGAGAAAAACATCAACTTAACTAACACTGGGTCGTTGGTTCCGATACTTTTCTGACTAATATCTTCATGACCGATATTTACAGCGCTACGCTAGCAGTGGAACCCGTAAGAATTTAGTCATCCTGATGGTTTGGCCTATGCTATGGGGAGGTGTCGCGAATTAGCGAAGGCGATTCGAGCATTAACATCATCTGTCACACTAAAATCGGGAATCACACGATTTCCAAGATACGCAAAACGCTCCACAACTTCAAGTGCCTCTCCTTGGATGATAAATAGCATATTCAGTGGCTCGTGTTCAGAGGCATGGGCATTGTTCATAATGCATGCCAAAAGACAGAATGGCCTTGATCAGTCCATGCACAAACACACATGTCTTCGCTTTGAGAATGAGAAGACTGTCTTCTGCATATTCCAAATCGACAAGATCTTCGCCAGAAGCTATTTGAACACGTGTTTTGAAGACTACGAATGTAAACAGAAACGGAGAGTGTCTTACACCAACTTACGTACGGATGCTGTTGGAAGCTCGCCGTATTCTCTCACACGCCCCGGAGTCTGAGAATACAAAGAACTTACTATGCTCACAAACTTCGCTTGCATTCCTTAATGGGCGTGTCAAGGATAACAGACCAGCCAAAAGAGACGAATGCGTCCTGGAAATCCAGAAATACTAGAATTGTTGGTCACTTATAAGTATATCGTTGTTCAGGCGAGATAGCTCCAGCAATTAGAGCGTGAATTTACTGACCGGAAGGTCCGTGGTTCGAGCCCGACATCTGCCTCTCGACTTCCCCTGTCTAGGTTTGGGCAACCTGACAGTATCCCAGCCCTCGCGCTTCCTTCGGGTGGCATGGCAGTTTCGCACCAAAAGGGTGCTACAGATGAACGATATCGTTGTTCTAGTAGCTGACGGACTGTGAAGACATGGCACCGCAGCTCCTCCAAGGCCACAACCCCGCTTTCTCCTCTTGAGTTGAATCCAATTCAATTGTGAATTCATCAGATTTTACAGAGCGCCGCTCACTGTCATTTTTGCTGCTGTACTCGCCAACTTACTGTCTTGATCATTATCCAACTAAAGCCTATGACCTTAGAACTGAGGTGGCGATCGTCCTGAAACATGGAGGACGTAACCGACGTACAAGAACCTTTAAAATCGCACACCGGCCGCTCGATCACTGATGACCAGATGACAGGTGAATTCTTCAAGAGACCGAATAAATTTTTGTCTCTATATCTCGAGTAACCTCTTTGCTAAGGATCAACACCAACCGTGGAACAAAATTTAATGTTCTACATTCGATTAGGACCTGAGAATATCAAAACCCAGGCCATTACATGCAAGTTCAGGCTACCATGCCCTGAAGTTGTTCACCAACAAAGTACGTGATTCTTTTGTGATGTAGCCTAAACAATGTCGGCTAGATGTTTTATGCCGGAACGTTAGACAGCTGGATCATTTAAACCGGTTGTAAACGCGTTTCATGGCTACACGAAAACTGGTAATACCAAGCAGCAAGAAATGTTCCATCCTAGAGCTGTGTGACAGCACTGTATGGTCGTCATCCATACCTACCATATCCAATCATCCCACTTGATAGACGGCCGTACCTGAAGGATTGTAATTTTCAAGTACACGTTGTGTGGTTTAAGCAAGCCCCAACAATCCTTCAGTGAGGACCTTTGATAAAACCCTGAAGAGCTATCAGCTCCAATCATGACACGGGCGTACGACCAACAACTTTATTTGCTAAATCTCCTATGTGCACTTAATGCAAACGGTGTAGGCATGTATGCTCACGCATGTCTGCACTGTCTTATCTAAAAAGAAACTGCAGTTTCTCAACCGCATGAAGCAAAGACAGAAAACGTGATAGACGTGACAACTGCACACGTACACAAAGTACACAAACATCATCATCACCATCATTGTCAGCTGTAATAACCACTTACTCGTCGTACAGTGGTTGCAGCTGCCGCAGTTTCGTTCATCGATGTTTGGGGGAGGGATAGGTACAGTGGGCTGTCAAGTGGGGTGTGGGGGTGGAAAAGGAGCTATGCATTGAAGGCAATAGCTTTGATGCACGAGAGCCATTGAGGGCGCGACTGGGCCATGTCTGACAATGTCTCCAGCCATTGATGTGGCCCGTCTCGGGGTCCCCATCCAGGAAGACGGCAATTACCAGCGCAGCTGAGTTTTCTGTTAATGGCTTTCACACTTCGCTGCCAAGTCATTGTTTGACCGCCTCTGGCTCTCTTCTACGTGGTTGGGCGAAAAGAGCCCTTCGAGGAAATCGGTCGACTGGCATACGCAGCACGTGGCCAAGCCAGCGCAACCTGTGCAGTGTAATCAGTTCATCGAGGGTGAGTTATTTCTCCCAAATACCATTCGACGTACTTCAGAATTCCTGATCCGCTGTTCCCACCAGATTCGGGCAATGCTCCGAAGACATCGATGGTTAAACATTAAAAGTCTTTTGACGTCCTCGGCGCGCAGCGGCCAGGTTTCTGATCCATATAGTAACATGGAGCGCACCGCAGCACTGTAAACTCGACCCTTGACAGAGAGGCTGATGTCACGCCTACGCCACAGGTGACGTAGGTTCGAAAAGCTGCTCTGGCCTTCCCAATCCGCATGGAAATTTCATCTTTCGTGAAACCACCGGGACTGATACAGCTGCCCAGGTAAACAAATTTGTCCACTACCTCAATCAGTTCATCCACAAAGATTCCGTACTGCACAGATACCGTTCTCATCACAATCAGAGAACGGATGAAGATGTCAGGATGACATTGAAGAAAGCACGAAAAACCACCATCGAGCTGCGAAAGACAACTGCGTGCCGTGTAGGCGACTCATATTATATTATTGTTAAGAGTATTGATATTAGGTATCAACCAGTGTTATACCTTGCGTGACAAAAAACAGAGCTCACGCATCGTTGTTATCGTTCGAATGATGACGGCTCTACTGAATAGAGATTTCAGCTTTATCTGCATAACAAACAGCGAACAGGTGCACAAATTGTACACAAGTAGTCAAACTAACTCAGCAAGTGCGACCTATTTCTAATGTTGTCCAAGGGGAACAACGGCTTAGCGTGGGTACATTAGCATCGATCCGAAATTGATCGTCAGGAGCAAAGGACCAAACTGATTACCCTCAGGACGGTGGATGAAATTCTTCATACTGTGGGATTTACAAGTACTTCAAAGTTACCATCAAAACCTCGCACATGTCATCTCAAGTCATCATGCATGTTACTCTAAGCTAGCAAAAGATAAAAGAAATCCCGGCCAGGGGAGAGTTACAAATCCGTCGTGGTTGTGTGCTTTGAAGTCTGACTACTGTAGTGATCATATGGAACTGCGTTATCAAAACAATGAATCGATTAGGATAATGTGGCGTTCATGGGTTCGTGGTACAGGCCTCCAATGAGCGAGGCGAATAAGTAACCCGGAACATCAACATCCTCCTGAAATAACTAGGCGCAGAGTAAATTAGAAGCAAAGTATGAGTCAGGCAATAATACATTACACTTCATCAGAAAAAGTAGCGAATCATGACTAACCAGGTGTCACATTGTGTAAGAAAGGGAATACGAAGAAAAACGGTCACACTCGACACTAAATGTCCAACAAACCTACGTTAAGAAAGCATTCTCGATCGAAACAGAAGCGCAAACCAGACGGAGCCACATCAAACGAGTCCTCCAGGAGTGGAGGTCTTTTGCTCTTTGTTTGATGCTGTTGGGTAGTCGATGTTGGCTCTGAAGGTTTCGTCATCTCCTCCAAACCAGTGCCCTCAATTTCAGGTAATTGCAGAACCACCGATCGGATCGGACTATTAGCATCCGTAAGGACCAAACTGAAATGGAGACGGTAGGCTTATAGCGATGTTGCCGCCGAAAACATCAATGTAGTGGTAGCCTTAGCTCTCAAAGTTACGGATTCCTCCCAAACTAGCTGACTGCATTCACTAGAGAGAGAAGGAAATACGTAGAATAAATTGAAGTGTATGTAAGGGTCATAGTTGTGCATACAAATAGTAGGTATATAGACAGATAACGATACACAACCGATCCAATCCATTTGACCGTAGATCTGACCGTGAGATATACGTTGAGGAAAACCAAGGACGTGTGGCATGTTTTTACACCAGTTCCAAGGCGTCCTTACCATAAGTAAGCGGTGGGATGTATGGAACGCAGTATCGGAGAGAGAGAATATGAGCAATAATGACGATGAACCAATTGTGGTTCAGGTGGTCTTGAGTAGATGAGTGGTACCGGACGCCAAAGATCAGACAATATTTACAGACAATCAGTAAACAAGAACAATGACTGTCATGTCACTGATTTTCATCCTACCAAGCGGCGACAGGGGATAAAAGAGGAGTTGCACAACAATGAAAGGTATATAGTACAACTGCAAACCTAACAAGGTGCACGGTACAAATCATGACCAGTAAGCCAGATCTTTGTGAAACATAAGGCATAGGTGAAGCAAAGCGAAGAGGTTCCGAAAGGGTTGATGGGGCAGTGATGGCGACGGTTGGGGGGGGGGCAACAACAAGTCAGAGAACGACGGCTACACAGCTGCCTTGAATGCAATTGTTCACCTGTGTGTGCATACCAGATGTGGAATGAAGATCAGAAAATGCTCTGTTGGAAATTCAATTTTTGGAAGGGGTTTAGGACATACCGGTTTAAAAAGTATCCTGGACAACTGACAATTAGAGCTGGGACGTAATACAGTAGCTGTACATTTATTACATGTGGAATTAAAGAGGGGTAGATCATTCGATACTCTATTTCATCGTTTGCGCCTACACTGACGCTTGTGTTCGTTCTGCCAGTGTTCCTGTTGACATGGAATACTGCAGTAGGAAGTGTTCCAACAACAATGGTATATGGCCTCGCACAGACAATTCCTGCACCACTGTCGCCGCTTGGTTTGTACAATAATTTCCGAGAAGCGTGCTTCAGCAGCCTCAAGATCGAGCTTTTTCTCACGTTCCATCGATTCACGAAGAGAAGTTTGGGCTTGTTCCACAGCAGCTTGAACTGCCGCAGCCTTCTCCTCTCGGAACTGTAAAGTCAAACGGTCTTCTAATTCTTGTAGGGTACGCTTGTGCTCAGACTGTTCGGCCAGCCGTTGAGTTTCGCGATCCTTGCATTCCAAACAGGTTTGAGGGGTGGTCTGAAATCAAATCAAAGTGAAAAGTTTAGGTAAGACAGGAATAAGACAGGTAAAAAGACCAATTCAGAAACAAATGATTAAGGCGTGCACTATGAGCATCAACAGCAACGACCGATAAGCCTGGCCGAAAGCAGCTGATCTGGAGGACTGGACGATCGGGAGGGTGCTACAACCGATGTTTTTCCATGAACCTGACATAAAACTTACGCCCAACAAGTCGCCTAAGCTGTTGCAGGTAGAGAGGTAGGATATGATCCGATAAGGATTTTAAGGGACCAAAAGAGGTCACTAGGGCACAGGGGCATTTTTAAGTATAATACCAGGAAAATCGGAATAATCCATATGAACAGGGCTTATGCGATCCGATAAAGTGAGAGAGCTGTGACGCATGATTGCATTTGTGGAACGAAAGATTGAACTAGTCTCAAGAAGGGATATCAGGCTAGAAAATGTTCCACAAAGCATCAATTAACTGTAGAGCAACACAGCACAAACACAGAAGGAAGAATTACCTGAACGCCTCTGCTGTTGCATTTCTTCGAGGAGGCGGCCGGAACACCGTCCATCCCACGGGGAGAAATGGACTGATTAGGATGAACTCCTGTTTCGTTGGGAAGTCCGTTCCCAGTTCGGTTCATAGCTGCAGCGTTCGCAGCAGCAGCAGCACGTTTATTAGGAGGCAGATGTGATCGAGGAAGACTAGACATACCAGCTGATTGTCCCTGTAGGCTGTTGAGTCCCGTTGTGCTAACAGAATTGTTACTAACAATATTACCCGATGAGACAGACCCAGCTAGCTGGGTTGTAACTGATAGCGTGGCGGAATGAGAAGTGCTGTGTGAGCTTGTATGGTCGAGATTTCCAGTTGCGTGGTGAGAAGGAAACAGGTTGGTCGCAGCTGATAATGAAGCGCGGTCAGAATTCAGTACTGCTGAGCCCCCACGTCCAGTATCTGTACTCGAATTACTAAGAGGTGGGGCAAACGGGGGCCGTCGCAACATAGTACTACTTGTCCCAGACAGCCGGCCTTCCTTGTTATTCGAGCCACTCCTGGTTGGACACCGGAATTTGCGGTCATCTTCAGCAACCTTGCCTGTCAACGTTCGGCGTCGGTTAGCGAAACCACTATCACTGTCAGCTTCTGAGGTCGAAGGCGAGCTGCACGAACTGAAATTACTGGAGGGCGATGAGCGACGCTTGGGAGTGACATCGTTGGGTCGTTTCGTTGGAGAATGTTTAGTGGACAGAGAACCGCAACTTACGTTGGCACCTTTTCGACCAGGAGATGAGTGGGTGAAGGGAGGCACATCGGGACTGTGGATTGGAGTGGTTTGCCGCCTGTGACCTTTGTGGTGACGCGCAGACATTCCTGGAGAACCCACGCTAAGGGCAGGTGAACAGCAGCGGTCAGTTAATTCGTCATCTTCATCATGGCGATCACCGAACTTGTCAATACTATCGGAAGTTCTCTTGGATTTTTTGACGGACGAGCCGAAAACCGATTCTTTGTTTTGTGCTGCCAGTCGCTTACGACCAGTACCGTCGACAGAGGCGTAATGCTTTAAATGTCGAGAACGAGGACGACCACGACCAGGACTCTGGTGAACAATGAATAGTGGTAGGAAGTACTGTAAGAAATTGTGTGAAATGATGAATTCACGAAATTACTGGAGAAGCGACAAGGGAGTCTGAAGCGGCAGTTCAAGGACGTCGGTTGCGTCAGTTACGCAATCTCCGATACGACCTAGCTACCAGTCTCAAGGGGACTATGGGTCTTTCACAACAACGGACCTAGACTAGTAAGGTCACAAGGGGGGAAATTCGGCGCTAGAGAAAGGATTTGATGCGGTAAACGCAGTTGGCGAGGGGTATTTTCAGACTCATGGGATATTATCCAAACAACTGCAATACCGTGGCCCGAATAAAACCACAAGGTGGATTGAGGTAAATGTATTATTACATAGACAAACCGAAGACAGGACAGCATTGAACTCACCCTCAATGGTTTCGGTTTCAGCCCCGCCAATTCATGCCAACGACTGACGTCGGAATTCTCAGTAGCAACTCGACTGACTTCACTAGCTGTCAAAACAAAATTATTGGAAAAACGACTAAGTAGTTTTGTATACCGCAGTCTCTCCAGTAGCGATCATCCGAGGGACGTAATACTTCCGATAGAAAAGAGAGAAGGTAAAAAACCCATTGGTTCGAATCGTGTTTGGAAGAGAGATGCACCGCACAATCTGATCCCTAATAAAGATACTGATGATGGGAGATAGCCGTCAGGGAGGGCTTATAATATGCAGTCCAACTCCATCATGCCCCGGTCATCCAGTAATCAATTACTTTCCCAGCCTATGTGTCTGTCGTCACACCATCTCGTCCTGGAGGTTCCTAGTCCGCAGTGGATTCAGCTTTCTCTGCATGGTTTACATCGTGACGACTTGTGCTGCATTCCTGTAGGGGTGCTAACTACTTCTGCGCCTGAAGGAAGCTTAGTTTCTTAGTGTCTTTGAGACAGGTCAGTAAACCTAGGGTTCATTCAACCCTAGAAATTATAAGTGCCAGTATTTCAAACAGAATTTGTACGGGAAAACGATTTGTACAGATGTGGAGTCCAACATGACCGAGCAGTCAGTTCCCAGCGACTTGTCAAAATTGTACCGATACAGACGGTTAATCATTGGCTCTTCCACCACTTGAAACCATATTATTATTAGCACAAGTGCAATCGGTGTTGGGTACCGTTATTCCAGACGATGAATGAGTGAGCTCTTGCGTCTTCCCAATGGTCATCATCCGTACTTTCTGACCGGTGGCAACGCGTTCAACGCCCTGAATACTACCTTCTGCAGAAAAACATCCAGACCGTTTACCGGATTTCAGTTCTGAGCATCTAAGTGCTTAGCCAGTGGTCAGAATTATCTAGAAACACGAGAACTCTTCAAAAGAAACCATATAATCCGAGAATAGGCTAATTCCACTCACGTTTTGCATGACAAGGGATTCTCACTCGACCTTATACAAGACCTATATAAAACGGATTTGTGTACACAAAGATTCCGTGACAATCATCTGTCCGGGTAGTCATCCGAGAAGCGCTCAACGGTTTCAGAATCCACCGGTATTCGCATCGACAGTAGTTTACACTACACTTAGAGTCGAACAAAGAATACGTTTCTGGGCGGCAGTGCGAAGTCAAATGAAGCGTCAAGACAGGCATGGGAAGACCAAATGTGCTTCATAAAAACCTCAAAAAATTCGAAACCCGCAGAGGCTTGGTCGTTCCTCACTAACTTTACTGGAGGACAGATTCTTATTATTATTATTATTATTATTATTAGCACAAGTGCAATCGGTGTTGGGTACCGTTATTCCAGACGATGAATGAGTGAGCTCTTGCGTCTTCCCAATGGTCATCATCCGTACTTTCTGACCGGTGGCAACGCGTTCAACGCCCTGAATACTACCTTCTGCAGAAAAACATCCAGACCGTTTACCGGATTTCAGTTCTGAGCATCTAAGTGCTTAGCCAGTGGTCAGAATTATCTAGAAACACGAGAACTCTTCAAAAGAAACCATATAATCCGAGAATAGGCTAATTCCACTCACGTTTTGCATGACAAGGGATTCTCACTCGACCTTATACAAGACCTATATAAAACGGATTTGTGTACACAAAGATTCCGTGACAATCATCTGTCCGGGTAGTCATCCGAGAAGCGCTCAACGGTTTCAGAATCCACCGGTATTCGCATCGACAGTAGTTTACACTACACTTAGAGTCGAACAAAGAATACGTTTCTGGGCGGCAGTGCGAAGTCAAATGAAGCGTCAAGACAGGCATGGGAAGACCAAATGTGCTTCATAAAAACCTCAAAAAATTCGAAACCCGCAGAGGCTTGGTCGTTCCTCACTAACTTTACTGGAGGACAGATTCTTCTGTCGCAGTCTTATTCAACTAGGCATCCATAGATGCAAACTTTCGCGATAGAAATCTAATTCACAACGCGTCAATCAATACTTCTCTGAACTTATCGACGCATGTGTGAATTTACTTCCCAGCTAAACGGATAGCACAACTCACATAACATGGCATATGATCTCAACCGAATGAACACCATCGATCCAAGCTTGACCCCTTTCTTTGTGGTCAGTTGAGTCTAAAAAGCACCAGCATGTATTACTGGTGTGCTGCTGTCAGTGATGATTTGTGAACAGTTTTTGGTTGAAAATCATGCACCCAGGTGAGTAGTTAATGGCGATCTCTTCAAAAGTGAAAATACTTTAAGGCTGCGCAGTTAAGTATGCACCGGAAACTAGCGCTTTTCTGAGCCAAAATAACTACGACGTTCTGTAAATTTCTTCCGAAATATCGGGTATCCTGTCAAACCAGCAGCGTATGACACACGTGACATTGCGAATTTCCTAGACAACAAGAATGACGATATCTCAGAGACTACGGAACAATACAAAAGAGCAAAAACTGCAAGAACGACTATGTAAACTTACTACGAGCCTTGGGACCTCGAGATTTTATTCCGCCTCGTGTTTTTTTCGGGGTCTCCCATTTCGTCGAGAAGTTTTTCTACGAAATACCAACGGGCGCGACATTAGACGGATGAAGGAACATCAGGAGACAATGGTATCACATAAAATCCATGAGTTCGAAAATAATATGGCATTCAGGTTTGGTAAAACAACCGATACGATTAAAATGAGAGTACACAGATTTCGAAAAACGTGGCTAACCTTTGGGTGCCAGTTGTTCTCCGAATCATCACTCAAACTGGAACTCACGCGATTGTCAGTACCATTTGCCAATTCTGAGTCACTATTAGAAGAGACAGGGGATATGCTTCTTGATGAATGAGAGCTGGATGGCGAACTGGATGTTTTCCTGCGAACGGGTCGACGAAGAATGCTATCACGTTTCGGTGGCCGGCCTGGTCCCCTGCGACCTCGCACACCCTTCGAAGGCCTTCTCGAATTTGGTGACAACGGTGATTTGAGACCAACCGAGGAGTCATGCTTGTTGGTCAAACTGAGCAAATCAGCCGTCAATGTAGCGGATGATTTGTGACTAGATCCGACTGCAGCAGCCATTGCTGCCTTTGTTTCAGCCAGTGCAGATATTGCAGCAGCTCCCGGGGTACCAGGTTGTGCAACAGGCATTGGAAGTTTGGAGGGATATCTCTTTTTGTCGTTGTAGTTTGGGCTCGAGAGAACTGTGGTCTCTAGTGGACGGGTTTTGGAGGATTTATTGAAAGCTTTGGATACGCGAGATGAAGAGGTTTGCCGAACGGGCGGAGGTTCGTCTATCGTGGGTGTTGCGCTAGTAGTAGTTTGGTGGCTGCTGGATGACGTGTGCCGTCTAAGCAGAAAATAGTTTTATATAGACAGGTAGGCGAACGAAAGTCCAAAAACAAATAAAACTACTGAGGCGATGTTGGCATCCATGTTAGCCTTAATGACAAGCAGAATTTTCCCAGAATAAGAACTCTAGGCCGGTGTACGGAAATTTCCACTCAGGGATGTTGCCACTGTGGTTCGAAAACGTGATACCAAGCGACTGGTCATGTCAAACGACTTGGTGAGTACAGTATAATGGGAAACCAAATGGACGTAGGCAGAGGAACAAATTACATGCTGCGGACAGACACAAGTACACAAACCCAGATGCTTCCAAGAAACCTCTCGCAAGTGCTATGTAAACAGGTGTTAAAATTCTGAAAAAAGGTCTTTCGTCAGCTGCTTTGGTGGTACTACACCCATCAGACTTGTGGATGAACTTATCGAGCTTATCGCAAAATTACAACGGACTACATTAACTCGGTAATCATCGAACGAGGCGAGATCGCTCAGTGGCTGGAGCGCAAATTTACTGACCGGAAGCTCCGTGGTTATAACCCAGCCTCTGTCTATTAAATTCTCCTGTCTAGGTTTCAGCAACCTGGCAGTATCTAAGCCTTCGTACTTCCTTCTTGTGGCATGGTAGTTAGGCACCGGAAGGGTTCCACATCTGAATGATGATTTTTATTCATCGAACAGGTAAAAGACAAAGTCTAGTAATTAGGCGTGTCGACTGAAATGGTTGGCAACGGAATCTTCTTGTTTCACACGAAGACCTGAAGACCTGAAGACCACGGAGAATTCCAACTTTAAAGCCAAGTACAAGGTAGACTGTAGTTTTCGTTATGCATGCAGATGTCGAAGATAAGATGTGCTCACCCATTAACTCAGACTTACCTTCTTTTAAACTGATTTGAAGTGGAGGATGATCGTGGACTCTCGGTACGCGCACCCTTGGAGAAAGTATTCATTGTTCCTCGTCGGGGAGCAAGATACACCTCATCCGAGTACTCATCTTCAGATGGAGGCAAATCACTCTCACCTGAAGAGTGTGTGTAGTAGCCACTCTCGATATTTCCCTGAAGTTTGGTTACCTCATTCCAAGCGCGCTCAAACCCACACCCCGCATACGTGCCCGTTCGACGGAGAACGCCGATTTCATCGGCCGGGAGATGAAATGGACGCGTGTTGGATTTCTTAACCACGGCGCGTTCATGTGTGCCTCCAAAGAAACGGACCTGAAAAAACAGACACACAGAAAGACATAAGTTCCATCAAGCTCGATCTGATGAAATGGCCCGGTTTCATTAACGTTCAACTGAACGGAGGCGCATTGCTATAAAGGAAGTAAAAGCAAACAAAGTAAGCAAAAGGTAATTTTAGTAGGAAGCAGTCATCGCCATCATCAACATAACATCAATGTTCAACACTGGTGTGAAAGATAGAATAAAAGTGAACGGGGAAAGGGCTTAGTGCTAGCCTACCACAGTCATTCTGAGGTGTCTACACCTCCAAACATTCATTAGGGCAATCTGGATAGAAACTGACAACAGGAAAGTCATTGATATCGATTAGTAGCCTTATCTTGCAATGTATCCAACAAGGCGCACTGAGGATCCCTCGATCGTGATCCTGCAAGGTGGGTCCCACCAACAGCAGACTCTTTCATGCCCCTCCGTCAGGTCAAAGTGTGGCAACCTCTCTGCTTCCGCCACTCTGAATGGGGGACGAAAAAAGAGCAAAAGTTTTGGCGAACGATGGTTCGGTTTAATCAACACAGCTTCTGGTGCCGGACACATTCTTTAACGGAAGTCCCCGTCACGCAACCGAACACTCGCTTTTTAATTACCTCGTTCCGGATTCGCCGAAACAAAACCACATGAACTATGGTTCTGAAACTGCCCATTCAGAAGCGAAAGTTTTCTTAGGTTGGCATCCGAAGTCTCGTTATCAAGGAATCTGGGAAGACCACTCAACGGAGGCGAGAGGATGCATTTAAACTAAAATCTATGACCGATTATAAGCCAAACAAATACGATCCAGGTAAACAAAATTTAGGCAGTCGGGAAATGCAATATGCCTCTACGGGTAACGTAAGAGAATAAACGTTCCTGTTCCTTAAAAATGTGGAAAAGTTAAAAAGACAGCTTAATTAGGTGGTAGAGAGAAATCATATTCACACAAAGAAGGCGTCTTAAACAATCAAATGCAGCTACTTCGGAGAATGTGAGGACATTTGAAAAGTATCGAGAAAGATCAAACAACGTTTCTTTAGCGCGACAGAACGAGCAGTTGAAATGGAACCAACCTCGTACGCATCATCCCGCTCCAAAAGCACCTTTGCGGGCCAAAAGTAGGAAGAAATGTTGATCGAATCATTGAATATACCGGCACCCGCAGAAGTGCGGTTGCATGCCCATATGAGCTCATGCGGTGGTTTACATGGTTTACTGATCCAGTCAGTAAGGCGAGTTTTAGCGTTGATGTAGCAATCCGTACAAAGCTGAATCTCAATCAGCTCTGCATTTACTGAACGTAGAAAAAAGCGAACTTCATCCGCCTCGCTACTAAACGGTCCGTGCAGAATGCACACATTGTGCACAAGCAGCTGTACATCCATGGAAAATTCCTCAAGAGCAGCATAACGACCATCCTTGATTTTGCGCTGGAGTAGTTCCAAGTCAGTGTACTTATATACAAGATATTCATTTTTGTTGATTTCATTTGGGTAACCGATATGAAGAAAAGTTTTCCAGAGAGGCTGTTTCCGAAGGTGATGTGTAGCGAATTCCAAGAGTTTTCGTATCTGCTTCCTGGAAAATTCGCATTTCGGTCGGGATTCGCAAACGGCGCAGCTAAAGTCATCGAAGAGACCATCATGTAGTGTGGGAGATCGGAGTGATTTCCCACTTGGGCTGGAAAGTTTAGATGCTTCGTTTGCACAATCGACGTGATAAACTCGGAAACAATCGGAACACTTCAGTACTTCTCCGGGCCTGTGGCACTGAAAGCAGTACCAGTCATGCTTGCTCCTGGAACATGGTCTGCTAAAATCTGGGAGCCTATAGCCTGCAGGTCCACCTTTTCCAAATGATGAACCAACTTTTTCTATCAGGCTATCACCCTCAATCTCGTCCAGAAGTAAGCGGATTTGATCGTCCTTCAAGCCAAACTGTTTCCGTAAAGATTTTACCAATTTTTCCGTTGGAATAACCAAGCGTTGACCCTTCACTGAACCAATGGTATCCCAAACTTGCTTGACCTTGAGAGGGTCAGCATGACGATAATTCCGAAGGTTCACATAGTCCATTGTTTTCAAGTTATGACATTGTCGCGGTACTGAAACAAAACAAAAGTTGGTTATATGTAGCCATCAATGAATGCTAATATGCGCAAGGAAATGTGAGTTGTCTCAGCGATGGCCAGTCTCTATCCAGTAACCAACTCCCGCTGCGCCCACCAGCTAACCCCATCTACCAGCCACACCAAGTGACATCTCAGAACATCACTTTGCAGACGGCTTAAGTCAAGTGAAGAGTCAAGAATCGCCGAATCATGACTGACAGAAATACCCTATGGAAAGGAGAGAGCTTCAACTGTAACACCCTTGCGGTGCATAGCTGCCAAGCCACCCGAAGGAAGCATCAGAGCTAGTTGCCCAAGCCAGATGGTCTATCTCCTTCTGGGAATCGGGTAAGCGATCGCTATGAACAACAAAAGCCAATAGGACAGTGAACGGTGGAGCGTGCACTTTGTATCGCTGTGCACTTATTAGCAGCGTCATCGGATACTCTGACGAAGTGGTACTGATACTGAAACGGTGTACGGAGTTCCTTAGAACTGATAGGTTAGAAAAACTGCCATTCCTGTGGGTGGCGTGGATACGGTCAATGGGACGGTCTCCACACTGTAGTAATTGGAAAAGGATGCGAATAAACTATTTTCAGCGAGTAGCCAGTCGTGAACAAATAGCAGCAAAGCAATCGCGGCTTGGTAAGTTCTGTTTCGATCAGCCAAGTTCCCAAGGAGTACGTTATGTATCTGAATGACCTGAGCAACGAATACACGCGACTTGAGAACGAGCGCATGATCCCCTAATAAGACGCGAGACCAACCACTCCTAGCAGAGGGAAGAAGAAAACCGGACCTTCAGAGGAGAGTTTTTACTGCCCCAACCAAAGGCGAAGCACAGCGGGAGCAACATTTTGGGCGACCTTGAGGCATGATGAATTCATTGGCACATAAAAAGAGCAACTGGCTAATGGGAGAGAAAAATGCGCAACATGGCGGAAAAGACGCGAAATTTAAAAATCCAAATTTTCACAAAATAAATTTTCCAATAACTCGAGAAGTAAACGGTTTCTGTGGATACACTGTGGTAACAATCACCCGAATCGTCTATGCTAAGAGCGACTTCGTCTTCCGCTTGTTCATTCAGCAGAGAGTTGGGTGAATGCCTACCTGCTTCATCATCATCATTGTCAGCTGCCTAGTGAAAGTAGGCTAGTCTGTACATTGATGCTTGTGTCGAATAATTTCACCTTATAGGCAGTCATGCCCAGTCCAACAGACAAAGCGTACTTATTGATAGTACCAATGACCAGTTGTAGCTTTGTCGTCTCCTTGCTCGGGACACGTGTCACCGGGGCAGTTGAAACAGCAAAACATAGGTGAGCAATTGGGAAGTCAGATAAAGCGTTCATGCAGAGATATCGTCGTCCAATCCAGTTCCCGCCTCTGAACACGTCAAATGTTGTCCAGTTTATCTTATTGTTCCGCCCCCCCCCGGGTCTGGCGTTTTTTCCACCACGACCGTTGCGAAGGACAGACTTGACATTGTTGCTGCCTAGAAGAACGGCCAATGAGGAGGACAGGTTTGAAAAGTTACTGACGTTTCAGGCATTATCCATATCAGACACCAGGTTGGACTAGCCGCAGGGCTTATAGCCTGAAGGCGTAGGTTGCGTATGGCATACAAGCCGGTGTGGTCAGCTTGGGTAGTTGGATGTCTGAGGTTTCTTCTTTGGGATGGGGTGATGTATGGCTTAGGATGGCGGCGATAGCCTTCAACGAAGGGGTCCAATCATCATCATCGACAGCATGACATCAGTGTTCAACACCGATACTTCACTGCCGTACAACCATGATTTATTTGAAGGCCTTATTGTGAAAGAAAGAATAAAGGTGGATGGTGAGAGGGACCTAGAGCTAGGTCACTACAATCATTCCGAGGTGCCTACACCTCCAGATAATCTGTCAAACAATCTGAATAGAAACCGACAACAAGAACGCCAGTGAAATTTTGTAACGTCTCCAACCCAGCGCAGTGGGGATCACGCGGTCCCCATCCTGGAAGGCGAGTAGCACCGACAGTATCCAAACGTTTCGAAATCCCCTTCATATCTCTCTGCCAGGTCAGGTTGGTCACCTCTCTGCTTGCGCCACTGAGTTGGGCATGGAAAATAGCAATCACTTAGGCAAACGAACGTTAGGTATATGCAACCCATGTCCCAACCAACGCAGTTTCTGCTACTGAACACACTAATCAATGGAGGTTTGCGTTGCACAACCGAAAACTCGCTTTCTGATGACCTCATTGCGTATTCTCTGAAACAAAACTACTCGAGCTATGATTCTAAGGTAACAGTCGACCAGGTGTCAGATATCTGCCACTCCAGTAACATTTTATTTACCTTTTAAATGCCCCGCAGTAGTTGTGTCAGACTGTGAATGAGTTCTCCATCTTTAACAAGACAGGGGGAGGCAGCCAGAACCGCGTGTTTCTCAGACACTAACCCACACTAGCTAAGATTCTGAAACGATTGTCGAATACCTGAAGACGTCTAAGCTCCATTGCTCGAACAGCCGAAGTCTCGCAGCCTTACAACATAACAGCCTGCGCTGTAGCTTGATACACACGTCCCTGAAGATTCAGGAATACACCACTTTGACGCCATTGGTGTCTGAAATTGGCAAATGCGACCCGGGCCTTGCAGATCCGTGCATTGACTTCGTCTGTCACACAACAAGCAGAACTAATACAACTTCCAAGGTACGTAAAACGATCCACGAATTCGATTTTCTCTCTCTGGATTGTAAGTGGTGTATTCAGTGACTGCATATCCAGGAGCATGACCTCACACTTTGTGGGAGCAAGGTGGATACCGAAGGACGGGATGACTTTGGCCAGTTCATTCAAAACACCTGAGCCTTCTCCTGGAAGACAAGAAAGATGTTGTGTGCACATTCCAGATCGGCAATGTTTCCGTCATGGGCATTTTAAAAACGTACGGTTTTTTAGTTCCTTCATCGTCTTTATTTCATCGATCACGAAATTAGACAGATATGGAAAGGGTGGGTACCATTGACGGACACCGCTTTGTGTACGGAAGCCTTTGGAGAGTTCTGCGTAGTCTCTCACCGGAAGTCTGAGAACACAAAGATTGTTCACAGACTTTCGTGGCATCCCGCGATGGGCGTGTAGAGAACAGATCGGTCGACCGAGTCGAATGCGCCTTGGAAATCCAAGGACACTAAAATTGTGGATAGTTTTTACGCCATGGTTGGCATGTACACTCACTTTCAACTGAGGTCTGATAATTTGTTCGGCGGAATTAGGTTCACGACCGAGATTCAAGCAGTGCCATTGTTGTGTCTGATATCTCCGTCACGAAGAGACTGGACCTGACCGTATGTGATAGTATGTGTACCTCGGCGAATCCCTGAACTATAGTGGGGTGTGTCCGCGCGACACCCGCAGTCTCTCATACCAAATTGGTCAATGATTAGAGGCCTGATGAACACAAATGGAGAGAATCGGTGAGTGCCCACTTTCAAAAGAGGCTCGTAGTGAGTGTGGCAGCCACAGGGGGATGAGCCTGACCCCGGTCGTTCTGAAAATTTACTTCTAAATTACCCGCCTTCCCCGCCATGTTGCACCTTATTCAGAAGAGGCCGCGCGTCATTCCTATTGGCAGTTACACTTTGTGTGTACTAACGGAATTTTTTCCCCATGTCATTCAATATATATATATATATATATATATATATATATAT